TCTCGAGGCTGGAAACGTTTTCGCCAGTTTGGCTCTGTTTTCACAGCTCACAGTCCCTCTCTTAATTTTTCCAGTTATGATTCCTATCATCATTAACGCCAAGGTGAACAAAATCACCCAATCTCCGTCATATTTTACGAACAGTCTACTCGAAAATTTTTCAATTTAGATTTCCACGAGGAGAATAGAGGAGTTTCTTGAGCTCCCAGAAATCGAGAACGTCTTACCAAATCCTGAAGAAAAAGTAGAGGTCGTCGAGAGTCCGCCGTCGCAGAATAATTCTGTCGACGAGAATACTGTGAGTATTTTTCAATAAATTAAAACGTAGAGATTCTTGAAATTAGGAGTTCCTCAAGGTGGAGACTATGAAGGCACACAATGCTCCCACTTTTGGGTCACTGGACAGTATCAAAGAGGACGAAGAAGATGGTCAATCCTGTGGTTTGAGGGATTTCAAACTAGAGATAGCTTCATCTGTCGACACGGTGTTTGAGAAGGATCCAGAGGTTCCTGTGCTCAGGATGAAGTCCTGTGGATTTTCCTGGGGCACTGAGGAGAGCCTGCTATCAATCGCCGATCTAAACTTTCCACGCGGTAATTTCAAATTAATCCCGATAAATAATCAAAACGTTCGAACAAAACTTGAAGAAAAAATTCTACCATTTCTCCAGGTCAGCTGACTTTAATCGTTGGAAAAATAGGAAGTGGGAAGACTTCTCTTCTATTGGGAATGTTAGGGGAGATCCAGAGGACAGCAGGATCGATCGAATGGTCAAGGTAATAAATCACAAACCTTACAAATATTCCAACTAATTTTCCATGCAATAATTTGAAATAAAATATCAAACAGAGGTTCCAAGATTGCCTATGTGGCCCAGAAAGCATGGCTCCAAAACGCCACCCTGAGGGACAATATCCTCTTCGGATCACCCTTCAAATTGAAAAGATACAGAAACGTTCTAAAAGCCTGCGCTCTGCAACCAGACGTAGACATACTTCCTGGTCGCGATTTGACGAGGATAGGCGAAAAGGGGATCAATTTGAGCGGAGGACAGAAGCAAAGAGTGACTATAGCAAGAGCTCTCTACAGTGACGCAGACATCGTAATAATGGTCAGCTAATTCTCACTAAAAATGGTGAAAAAGTTAGCCAAAAATTGGAAGAAATTTGTATAATTTTCAGGATGATCCATTGTCTGCGTTGGATCACCAAGTCGGCCAGCACATCTTCGATCAGGGAATCCGGAAGCTGCTACTGAGAAGTGGTCGTACAGTGATCATGGTCACTCACAGACTAGAATTATTATCCACTGCTCATCAAGTACGTCAATTTATTAACCACGAATTAATTTTCAGAATAAATAATAAGTTAACCCTTTGCAATCGAGTGGCGACTAAACGATTGTCACTTTATAAATCATTAATCGTGACAAGGGAGAATAGAGAGGGAATGATTGGCGTAGCGCGCAAAGCCTCAGCTTGCTAAGCCGAAGGTTCCGGGTTCGATTCCCGTTGGGTCCCTCAATATTTTTCCCTAGGTTCCTACACAGTTTATTTCTACGTTAGTTTAAAAAATTTTCAAAGAAGATTCGCGATCTTTTTTACAGCGAAAAGACCTCCGAGTGCAAAGGGTTAATATTAATGCAATTACTAAGGTTGTCGTTATGGACGGATCTCGAGTGAGAGCAGTCGGTACCAAGTCGGCAATTGAAGACTCTGATCCAGTATTGGCTCTCGAATGGCGGAAAACAGCGAGGAGGAAAGACGAAGGACCTCGCGCTCACAGAACAGCTAAAGATAGATGGTCTTTGATCAGGCTGGTGTCTAGAATAGGCATCAACGTGAAGAAGAAGCAACCTGACGATGGATCGTGGATCACTGATCAAGATGCTCACGTGGTGATTACTTCTTCTTCTTCCTTTTTCTTAATAAATTCGATAAAGTGGACGTTGGAGGTGAGGTGGGTGAGGAACGCCGTTGCACTGTTTTCACCTCAATTTATTAAAATATAAGTGTTATGGTCGTTTTATTCGTTAATTGTCCCTGCGGCAGCGATTCGGCGGGTACGTCGCGATGGTCGGTAAAGGAAAAACTGAACCGGAGGTGTAGGCGTACTGGGTTTCTATATTGTTAGGACAGGGAGACAGAAGTAGAGATAGATAAAGGTAGAAGTAGAGAAAGTGGTGGAAACGGAAAATTTGTAGAAAGCGGAGCCGTTCGTCCTCGTGCAAACCTGGATGCCACGTGTGCGCTTCTTAGGCTACTCGAGGACGAAGGCAAGTCTTAACCCGGGGAGAGACAAAAGAACGGAAGCTAAAATCTGAAGGAGTTGAAAAAGCGAAAGTTCGCGTGGAAGAATAGAACAAGGTTCGATAAGGGCTTGTTGGCAGTGACGTACCCGCCACAGAGGAATTTTCGAGATTTTCTGTGCTTCACAGAATCCTCCAGGTTTCGTGCCACTCAGAATGCGACGAACCACTCTGTCAGGATCGAGATACTTGGCCCACGATCTGACAGACCTTCCAGTACCCACGGAAGAGTGGAACGTAACGAAGAAGAAATTCAAATGGCATCGAAACGCTGTTAGATCGACCAGCCTTCAGCCTCAGAGGCTTCCGCCGCCTGTTCTTCGTCAGAACAGCACTCCAACTATTCTCGAAAGCCACTACGTCGTCCCTAGGTGTGTAATTTCGAAGTTCGACGAGTTTAGACGGTAGATTTTGAGGTATCTGATTTTTACTAGGAAGAGGAATAACACTTTCGACGGTGGACAGCGGAGCAGTGTTTTGAGGCAGCTGTTTTCCGGCGGGTGAGTTAGATTTTTGAAGTATTCTTGCTGTGATGTGTAAAGTAGATTTTGTTAATGGGAACTTAAGACACTTTAGAATTATCAGTCCGCACCCCGACGAAGTTACGGTGAACAGAGACAAAGGTGTTCTGAGAAGATTGATACCTTCCAGTTCCAGCAGACAGGCTCACTATAGCTTGAAGAAGTAGGAGCAACAATTTTCCATATTTTTACGCAAAATAGGTAACAATTTGTTTCAAGGTAATTGCGTTATTTCTGTAGGACCAATCAGGATCAGGAGAACGATCATTTTCCCGTGAAACGACTGATCTCTGTGGAGTCTAAGGGAACCAACGAGAGCGACGAAGTCGAAGGAAGTTAGTCTACTTACCAAAAAAAGAATTATTCGATAAAAAAATTTTTTTAAAATGCATGAAATAATGTTTTTCTATAGAAATCTTTGACACGGAGGAGCAAGAAGAATCTCAGAGCGAAGACAGAAGTGGAACACTCGCGGGAATGATTTTCTTCGAGTACGCAAAAGCTGGGGGTTGGCTGTTAGGTCTGACTTACGCGGGAGTAGCGATTTCCTGTCAAGCTTTGCGAGTTTACATCGATCTCTGGCTAAGTCGCTGGACAGATAAGGATAACGCAAACTTCTCTCAAGAAAATCACAGTGTAACGACGTCGAAAATCATTTCTAACTTTCACATTATTAACCCTTTGCACTCGGAGATGATTTTGCTGTAGAGAAGGTTGCAAATCGGATGTTTGAAATTTTTTCAAACTAACGTAGGAGTAAACTGTACTATTTTATTTAAATATTCGACGTATTCTCTATTTCACCGTGGCGAAGAAATTTATGAAGGCCCGTGGATCTGTTCTCTGATCTCTGACGATTATTCAAGTCGCCGCTCGATTGCAAAGGGTTAAAAATGAAATCAGACAAGAATTTTCTCTTCTTTTCAGACTGTATTCTATTTCAAAGTCTACATCGTCCTATCCGTCACGTTTATACTCTTGTCCTTCGTGTGCAACGTGACTGGGCAATGGACAGGTGCCAAAGCTAGAAGAAAACTGCACGAAGAAGCTGTGTCCAGGCTTCTCAGGGTGCCTGTGTCATTTTTCGAGTGCAATCCTGTCGGGAAAATTTTGAACAGGTTCAGTGCTGACACTGGAGTCATCGACAAGGTTCATACTCGTTAAAAAATCGATAAATTAAAAAAAATTCAGTATTTTTCTATTATTTCTTTTTCAGAAAATATCCATGTCGATTCAAAGACTGACGTTCTTCATCCTACTGTGCGGCTCGGCGATTATAGTGAACGTAATCATCTCTCCCTGGTTCTTCATTGCTGCTGTGCCTACTTTTGCAGCTTACTATCTAGTCCAGAGATTCTACAGACGAAGTGCTAGGCATTTGCAAACGTTAGACGCTAGGTAGATTGAGAATTAATCTTCTATTTTTAATAAAAACCAGGTAAGTATGTTTAAAGAGCTGGTTTCAGCACTCGGTGGCCAATTACGACGCACTTTTCTGAGACACTCTGCGGATTGGCAACCATAAGAGCTTCCAAACAGGAGACCCGTTTCACCGAGCAAGCCATGAAGTGTTTAGACTCGAATACAAACGCGTTTCTGCTTCTGAATTCTAGCAATCGATGGCTGGGAATTACTTTGGTAAAGGAATATCCAAAACGAGGTCGAATTTTATAATTAGGTAGTGTTTCTTGATCGTGATTATTTTTTAGGATTATCTAGGTGCAGTGGTAGTAGGATCAGCGACATTTGCAGCCCTACTTTCCTCAGAATTGTATCCAAATCGTGTGACACCTGCTCTAGTTGGTCTAGCTATTAATTACATTCTCCTAGTACCGATTTATTTGAACTGGGTGGTGATGTTCACAGCAGAAACTGAGATGTACTTGAGCAGCGTGGCTCGAATCTCAGCGTATAGATACGCTCCTGTCGAGAATTATCAGCAAAATGGTACTTTGAATTTTGTAGCTTTTCAGTGACTCTTCTTTATAGGGAAGTAAATTGTTTAAACAATTTCTAGACTCGTCTGTGTCTGAGAATTGGCCTAGCAAAGGTGAGATCATCTTTGAAAATGTCTGTCTGAGACACGACTCGCAAAGGGAACCAGTGATATCGAATCTGATCCTGAAGATTCCTGCAGGTCAAAAGGTAAAGGTTTGAAGGAAGATGAAGAGGAGAATTTTAATATTGAGAATCTTCGTAAATGTTTTATGTAGATTGGTATTTGTGGGAGAACCGGAAGTGGCAAGTCCTCCACAGTGATGTCGCTCTTTCGACTGCTAGACATTACTCAGGGGCGTATATTGATCGACGGAGAAGACGTTCGCCACGTTCCGTTGGAAATCCTTCGATCGCGACTGTCAGCGATTCCTCAGGATGTGATCATGTTCAGTGGTACCATTAGGTGATCTCTACACACATGTTCGTCTTAATATTTCCTCTCTAAAGGGTTAACCCTTTCGTTACGGAAGATTTTAACGCGCAACGTGGATAATTGACGGTAAACTTTTAACCGTAAATTTGCCAAATTCGTTACTTTGGCTGTATCGTTTCAAAATTTATTAAATTAACCTGGAAGTGCGCAAAGGACAAAATTAAGTATTGAATTAAGATGGAAGTGCATCACAGGGCGCCCAAAAGTATAGCGCGAGTAAATTTTACAAAACTCCCATAAACGCCAATAGTAACGAAAGGGTTAATATTCGATCTCTAATTTTCCCTAGAGAGAATTTGGATCCTCTGTCGGAGCACGAAGATCGAGATCTCTGGGAAGCTCTGGAAGTGGCGCAAATTAAGGACATCGTGGCTTCACACTCCGAAGGGCTCAGTAAGCAAATCTTCCCAAATTCATCTCTAACTTTAACCACGTAAAAAAAGCTATTTCAAAAAAAAAAAAAAATAGACTTCGAGGTGAAAGAAGGAGGCGAGAATTTCTCTTCCGGACAATTGCAACTACTGTGCATGGCGCGAGCGATCCTCCGGAAGTCCTCGATCGTCGTCCTGGACGAAGCGACAAGCGCGCTCGACGCCGCTACCGAGAAGAGCCTCTTGAGAGCAGTTTCAACTGCTTTCGAGAATAGAACAGTGATAGCTATCGCGGTAACATCGCTTTGACACTCGACGTTCCTTATCTCCACAAAAAAGAATAGACGTACGACAACTTTCATTCCTGTTCATTCTCACTTTTCTCAGCATCGAGTGGCCGCATTGCTGGACTGCGATCGAATAATCGTGTTCCACGAGGGTAAAATCGTGGAAGACGGTTCGCCGATGGATTTAACTCGACGACAAGGCGGTTTGTTCGCGAGTATGCTGAAGTCGAACGACGAGAATTAGGACAGGTGAGAGGTGGAGGAACGAGAGCGATAAGCTCGATGGAATCTGAAGACTGGTACATACCTGGTGCCTCTGATCGAACGTGCATAGTATTTATTTTTGATATGGACGATAAAACGTGTAGCGTAGGTACATAGCAATAGGAATTCCTGGGCGATTTTTTTTTGTAAATACCTGGACGGTGTATTAAAACGATCGTTGATCGATCCTGCAAAGGCTACCTTTCCTTCGTCCTCTGTTACAGTTTCTTCCTGCCTTTTGTACACCGAATTTTTTACTTGGAATACATTTTTTTGGATCCCTGGAAATTCTGTTCTGGAATAATGAAGCACTTGACAAGTTGATATACATAATACAAAAAAAGAAGAAAAATAGAAATAAAATAATTCCACAGGTAAAATTTTCGTGCTTTTACCTCCACTTCAAATTTGCCCTAATAAAATTTCTTTCATTCCTGAGTAACAAAGTTACTCGACAAATTAATATACACAATGTACCAAAAAAAAAGTAAAAATTCTACTTTTACCTCCACTTCAAATTTGCCCTAATAAAATTTCTCTCATTCCTGAGTAACAAAGTTATTTGACAACTTGATATACACAATGTACCAAAAAAAAAAATAATAGAAAAGGAATGATTTTGTCGTGAAATTTTCATGCTTTTACCTCCACTTCAAATTTGCCCTAATAAAATTTCATTCCTGAGTAACAAAGTTACTCGACAAAGTAATATACACAATGTACCAAAAAAAAAGTAAAAATTCCACTTTTACCTCCACTTCAAATTTGCCCTAATAAATTTGTTTTCATACTTTTACATCCATTTTCAAATTTTCCCTAATAAATTTTGTTTCAGTGCTGAATAACAAAGTTACTCGACAAATTAATATACACAATGTACCAAAAGAAAAAGAAAAATTTTCCTGCTTTCGCTTCTACTTGAAATTTGCCCCAAGAAAACTTCTTTCAGTCCTTCATAACGAAGTTACTCGACAACTCGATCCACGCAACATCCGAAAAATAAAAATTTTCGTACATTCACCTGTGCTTCAAAAACCGTCCCCACTCCGACGAACCTCGAGACATCTTTATCATCACCGAGTCATCGTCACTCGCACACGTCGAACTTTCGAACAAAAAACAAGCCGTGAGAATGCGAAGAAATGAAGTTGCCCAAGCCAACGAAATCTCGTTCTCCGACCATGCCCCTATCAACGAAACCTATCTCTCAATCAAATCGAACAGGTTCCAATGGAAATGTACTTTCCCGGTGAATTCGGCTGGACGGTATCGATCGTTTGAGCCACTCCACGTGGAGGAGCAAGCATACCACGGATAAAGTGCCAAACGATAATAATTACCTACATACCCCCACTGTCACGCAACGACGGAAATCGCGCGCGTGTTTTTCAACTAGTGGCATTGAGACCGGCCTGTCGATAACACCGCGGACTCCGCGAACGAAAGTCCATCTCTCGATTAACGCGTCTCCTCTTCGATCTTCCTCGAAAAATCGCCCGCTATAGATCATTTAAAAAAGGAACAATGTCGACGACAAGCGCGTTAGAATCTTCTTACCAAACCTTCGCGCCGATTTTTCACGTTCAATGACACGCACAGAGAAAAATTTGCCCAGGTGACCGTAAGTTGACTGGAGTAGAAAAAGGAAAAAACAGGTGAAAAATGAAAGCGCGCTTTCTAGCCATCGCGAATAATCGATCGACGTGAGATCGCGACCTGGTAACGGACAATGAATCTCGAAAGTGGCTGGTCGATTCTAGTGTTCGTAATTTCGTGAAGGAGTATATTTATACTAAGATAGACGAAGTTTCCAACGAGGAGTTGAAGAAAGAGTCGGTTCGTCGGAAGGATCCGTAAAAACGGTTCGAGAGACGTGAGTAAAGATGTGTTTATTTGTTCGATGTGTCGCGGCAGGAGGGCGATGTGTCGAACGGAGATTAGATCAGAGATAATTTGTAGCATTCTTCGTTCACGTGCTTAGCGAATTTCGTTATGGTTTGTCACGTTTCGTACGAGTTCTCGTATCTTTCCCGGCGCGATTTTCCTCGTTGATTCGTCGATGGAATGGAGCAGGAATCGGTTCACCTGCTCGATGAATCATCTTGGACGGGTGATCGTAAGTGTTACCACGGGCTTTTACCATTCGTGTGATCGATAATCGTCGATGGAAACGTCAGTTTTGACGGTTTTCTCGTTCGAGGCACACGCACGTCCGGTTTTCCTCCGCCGTGAGCGCGAACAGTTGGGGAGAAAAGAGGGAAAAGGAAGGTTCGATAGACGTGTTACGATAAAAGTGACTGGTTCGACGATAAGAGACCGTCGTTTCGTTGATAAGGAAATAGAAAATAGAGGAGCACGTAGCGTCACCTTCGGGAACTCGGCCGTGGAAAATTGCAGGAGGATCGGTGATTAAACGGTGCGTTCCGATGAAAGTCCTCCGAGGAATTTAATATCTGCGATAGATATTCATTAAACTTGTACTTAAGTAATATCACAGTGACCTAATGTTACACAGTAACGTATCTTCGTTCACTGTAACATAACTGACGAGCTATTGAAGAAACACCTGATGTCCAAATTTGGAAAAATTAGTCGAAATTGAACACTAAAATAGGGATACTCGATAAAAATTGCAATTATTACGTGTCTTTTTTTATTAAGTCTGAAGATTCAGTTAGTTATCGTAAAAAAGTTATCTCTCGGAGGAATGTTCAATAATGAAAGGAAACGACGCGAGGTCGTGATTTCGAGGCCGATTTTTTCGCACGAATCGCCAGGAGGAACTTATTACGATAAAACAATACATTTTTCACCTTCGAATGAGAACGAAGGCACGCTTCTCTAAGAAGAATTTACGAGAAAAAACGTAGAGAAAACGCTATTGCAGAGCATAAACAGGAAGAGAAGGCCAGGATGAGCAAGCAGAGAGACAGATAAAACGGAAAAAACGAGCACAGCGTCCTTATTAATGAAAAGAGAATAGTACTCGTTAGATAAGACGACCGTGCGTGTACCTGCCTGTTGACACTGCGTCTCTTTGTTATCGGCTAGATAAGATTTCTGCGTCTTTGTCGAACTTGAGACATCAGTTTTATGCGCGAATTCACCGAGTGCAGCTGATCGTACCTTCGAAAAGTGTGTCCCGATCGGATCACACGGTAATTCCACGAAATTCTACTTGGTTGTTAAGATTCGTACGAGTTCTCGAACTTCTCTGTGGTAAAATCGTCCACGTTCGAACGACAGGTGAGTGACGAAATTGAACCTTGCACTGAAATAATCTGCGAAATTGAGCGGACAGAAAAATACGGTCGGAGTAATTTTCGAGGCGAAATTTGCACCGAAAATAGCGAAGAACACGGTCTTCGAGGAGGCCACTATCCGGCGATCTAATCGGAAAAGACATCAGCCGTAAAAATGAAATCGCGTGACGATAATGTTCGATTGCAAGTGAATGGGGAGGAACGTCGATAAGATTTCCGCGTTTCTGCTCGCGAGTACAGCTCTATTGCTAGCTTGAGTAATCCCGTTGTGCAATCGAAGATTAACAGAGGAGCAACTGTCGGTAAAATTGCAAAATGAAACGTTGAAACGAGCGTGAAAAATTGAAAGAGTTGGACGCGAAGAATCGTTAAATATCGGCTGATTGAACGGAACGCTTCTTCCTTGTCTCGTCGATGAACGTCGCGATAAAACGATTAGGCGACATGGTAAACAGGGTAATTAATGAGAAATCAAACAGACGATAACGGGACGAAAATAATGTCGACTCGAGCGTAAAAATAGCAGTACAATTTAAGAAGAGAGGACGTGTCGCTTGGAGAAAAAGAGAGAATGAGAATACGTAAGCCGAAGCACGTGTGCTCTCAATTATTGTCTCGAGTTAATTGCGTCGCTCGCCTGCAGTTGATTAAACGCCACCGAGTAATTAAACAGCAGTTTTTTTTTTTAAATGCCTCCTCGGTTTCCAGATATTCGCGAAATTCGCGAGAGAGAAAGAAACACGAGTGTGAGCCTGTGTGAGTAAAATTCACCTGGCGAATTAACGCGGCTGAAAGAAGTGTTGCTTTTCAAACAGGAAGAAAAGGTAGTGTACTTACGTGGTTCCCGATCGTAAAATGGCATTATTGATCAGTCGAATGGGAATATTTGAGAGGTCGAGTGAATATGGAATTATTTGTCCTCGGTAAACAAATTTCAGACGACAATTTTCGGACGTGTTTAAAAGACGTTTCGTGGAATCGTTTTCGACATTCTTCCACAATGTAATTCTTGTTCCTCCCGAAGAATACTCACTAAGTAGAACGTCTGTTACTATAATTATTGCCGTCGGAGGAAATATTTAGGATAACAAGCACCTAATTCAATTTGCCCAAACTGAAAGAAAAAAAGAAACGTGGAATTACAACTGGTGACAATGGAAACTGGGAAAGTTTCTTTATCGACACTTCTTCTTTCGCGATTTCACTTAACCCCTTAACCTATGATTTCTTTTCCGACTGTGCACCCAAGTGTCGGCCATTCAATGTTTTAATACTGCATCAGATAACGAAAACTAATCTATCACAGAGTAATAACATTTAGCAATCCTTAGTCATACAAATTCAAACGAAAATTAGGATTACGATGAATTTTTCTTACCGATATAACTATTTTTCTCACATCTTCGCCAGAATCTCTGCCACGAGTCTGACAGGTTGTCATCGATTAAGGGGTTAATTCCCATCCACTGTGTCATCGTAATTTTCCATTTATCCTAACAACATGTCTTCGATACTCACGATGACTGTTGCATATCTTGCACAACCTATAAATACCGATAATTCAATAAAGAACAACCGAGAGATAGAAAAAAAAGTGCATCTGCAATCCCAATTTGCCGCGATCGAACATCGACGAGAGATCTCAATCGTTGTGAAATCGGAATAACAACTTGTACGCTTCTCTTTCTCGTCCGTTAAGATGATAATGGCGATGACGATGATCGGTCGCGTGCTTCTCGTTCCGTGTGTTTAACGAGCGACATTCGTTTCTCGAGCATTGTGCAAGGAAAATTACGAAACGCGAGCGCGTGCTCGCGGAGGAACGTCCTCGTGATTACGTAAAAAAACGAAGAGGAAAAAATAAAACAGACACGTTGCGTGTACGTGTATACACACGGAAGCAGGAAAAAAGGACAAACGAAAGAGAGACGGCTTCGGTCGTTTCGTGTAAAATTAAGAGTTAATTGCGAAGACCTCTAACGAAGCAGGAAATAAACGTGGCGCAGTTAGATGCGATCGCGGCGGAAAGAGACGATTTTCTAGTTTCTAGATGCTTTTGTCTGTTCGTGTGAACGACTCTCGATCGCAATCTTCGTCGTTTCGCTTTGTTTATCGTCTTTTACGTTGATTTAGCGAAATTGCGAGGTGGACGACTGCTTTGGAGATCGTTTCGCGGATTAAAGTGATAAGGAGAGCAAAGAAAGTTGAAGAATTTCGACGAATTTTTTGAAATTGCAGTTTCTTCTCCGGTTAAATATTGGAGTACGCATTTGTTAGATTTCTTGAGAAGGTTTTTTGCTGGAAGATAAATAATAGGAACCTATTGGAAACACGATAGATTCTAGGAATACGCTGCAACCATCTCGGTAAACAAGTGATAAATATTTAGGCAGATTCTCGTCGTACGACTAATCAAACATCCTTATCATTCTCTTAATATTGTATAAACGACGGTGCTCGCTGTAACGAGGCTACGTTACCATTTCCACAAACTTTTACCACCTGTTCAATGTCATCTTCTACGCAATCGTTCGATTAAATCGATTAATAATTCTCCAATTTCGAATGATCCAATTTACCAGATAAACGTCTAATTTCTGAAACGCTGGAATTAGTTGCTAAAATAACGAAATTGAAAAACAGTAGAATTTTGTTCTGCATTCAATCGAAAAATCGAATTTTTCTACAGCAAACAAAGACGAGAGAAACAATCAAGATATCGTCAGAGGATCGATAAGGTCGATTCACAAGGCTCGTTAAACCTCTCGATTAAACGCAATCAAGCTCTGTCACACGGAGAAAATCAGCAAATTATCGTTTATGAACTGTTGACAAAAAAGTGCAACTTGGACTGCTACTTTTTTCCTTCAGTTTTTCGAGCTAGATAGTCAGAACGATAAGATACGAGCAGGTGACGTCTGTCCTCGAGGCGACAGTGAAATCAGATCAACGAGGAAATTTTTCGATGCAGAAGTTAAAGAGTCAGTCCAGCTCGCGAACGTCGAGCGAAACGAGAATATCCTCGTCGTGAGAATGTGCTAATGTATCGTGACGTCAGCGCGCGATATGCCGTGCATCGGTGATCATTAGCATAAGCATGTGACCAGGAGCGAGCGTGCCACGTGCTCGTGACTCGCATAACTCTCTTTCTCCCTCTTTGCGTGTGTGTGTGTATGTGTTTTTCTTCTGCGCGAGTCGACGATCCCAATAATAGATCATCCTCCGAAAACGGAAATTTTCAGAAGAAAACAACAGGTCGGGAATGAATTGATAAGCGAAGTGTTAGGTTTGTAAAAACGAAAGGAATCTTGGTGCAAATATTTGTCACACGCTTGGAGGATCGACGGTGCGCGCGATTTTCGTAATAAAGAACGCAATAAAGAGCGACGGTGTCGTTATTCTTCCACGATAAATCGCTGTTATCTTAATTAACGACAATGAGAAAATTAGTATGAAGATAAAGGCGAATTCTCTCGATCGACGACGCGTAAATCGACCACGGTTGTTTACATTGAGAACGAAGAAGAAAGATCGTCGTGTATAGTGATCGACGGTGCGAGTTTATCGATCGATCGTTTGTCGAATTGCAGGAGTAAAGAGAGTCTGCTTTCGACATGGTTTGCACGAAGAAGATACGATGAAGTTCTCCTGCTTCCCGAAGCCAACTATCCTTGGTCGGACGGGTAGTATCAATCTCACCCCTCTGCCAGGGAACAACGAAACGAGCAATGTGAACGGCGTGAGCACGGTGAGCGAATCATTTCTCCAAAAAACCTGTAATTGTGAAACATTTCTCTATTATTTGTCTATTTGCAGAACAATAATACGAAGAGCCCGGTTGTGTCGAGCTACAAACAGTCCGGCGAACCAGATCTGACTCACGGCGTGGTGAGTACACGAAAATGTTGCTCTAATTAGATAGGGCAGGTCAGTTTTCGCGGTTTCACAGACCTTGGTTAACAGATAAGCAATTCAGTGTGTCTCGATTATTTAATACACTTAATAGACTGGTTCACTTTTGGAATTTTTTCTTTTTTTCAAGAAACTTTCTGACATAAGATGGAGGACTTTGTAAGGAATATTCTTATCTTGGAATTTAATCGTCGTTCTTCCTGATACCGTGCAGTTATCGAATTAGATAAAACGAAACTGATCTAATATTGTTATTATTGTATGAGTAAATCGTTGTTGGACGTTATTTACATGAAATTGAGCGTCTAAAGTGTTTAACTAGCATGTTAATGATTAAAAAAACATAGATACGCTCGTTGCCTGGTACCACTGTGTCCAATGGAACAGTTCCTCTGGTGCACTCCAATGGAAAAAGCAAAGCACCGGCACCACCTCCGAAGAAGAGCAACCATAATCACCTTCCCACGCATCACGAGAATGAACAGGAAGATGCCAGGAGCTCGGACAGCTCTGATAAACCAGCGAATCCAAGGGGTGGTATTATTGGCAAAACTCCGACTCCTCCCTCTGCACCGATTCCCGTTTACGAGAAAGATGCCAAGTAATTTCTGTGAAAAAGTGCAATTCTATTAATGCCGCGATAATTGTAAACGTTGGTGTACTGAGAATACGAACTTTTTCGTGTTTACAGAAGTAGACGACAGATTAAGAGGGCCATTTTGGAGAACGAATTCCTTGGCAATCTTGAGGAGAACCAAGTGGAGGCGTTGGTTTCAGCCATGTACGCGAAACAAATACCACCGAGTACTTTGGTGATTCGCGAAGGAGACATTGGTAAGATTATACATATTTCTTTGTTTCAATATAGATTTAAATATTCGTTTTTATCGATATTTCAGGATCACATCTTTACGTCTCTGCGGAGGGAGAGTTCGACATCTATCAGGGCAACAAGTTCCAACGAAGCTTCGGTCCAAGTGTCGCATTCGGAGAAATTGCTTTGCTCTACAACACCAAGAGACTGCGAACCATCAGCGGTACGTACAAGATTTATCTTTTAATAAATGAAATAACTTATTGAGGAATATTTTTTGTATATTTATCATTCAGTGAAGGATGGTGGAAAAGTATGGGTGCTCGACAGATCAGTGTTTCTCACAGTGATGATGCAAACCGCCCAGGAGAGACTGGAAGGGAATATACGGTTCCTCAGACAAGTTTCCGTCCTTCAGAAATTACCTGAGCCGAAGGATCACGTTCTTGCCAAGATCTCTGATCTTATTCGTGTGGTGAGTACATTTAAATACTAGATATTAATTATAGAAGAGAAAAATATACGTGTTTCTGTTAGGAATTCTTCCCTTCTGGGGCTAAAATCGTCCGGCAAGGAGACAAGGGAGAGAAGTTCTACATAATCAGCGGTGGAAACGTTCGAATCATCAAAGACACCGAATACGGCGGCGAGGAAGAATTGGTGGTTCTTGGAAAGGGTGAATACTTCGGTGAGAAGGCTCTGTACGGTAACGATGGTGAAAATCGAAGACACGCCACTGCCATTGCATTAGCACCTGGTGTGGAATGTTTAACGTTAGACAGACAGTAAGTTTCTGTGTATAATCGATAAAAATTAAACGGAAAAAAAGATTCTTCTTTCTTGAGACAAACGAAACTTCAGATCCTTCTTGAACTACTTGGGCGGTCTCGATGAAATACGCAACAAGGACTGGTTAGCAGAGTACGAGAAGCAGAAACGATCTCTGACACCGAAGAAATGGACGAACGAGTACTCGAAAGTCACTTTAGACGACCTGGAAACCAGAGGTACTTTAGGTGTTGGTGGATTTGGCAGAGTTGATTTGGTTACCTTGAAATCAGACTCTGATAAGAGCTTCGCGCTGAAGAAACTGAAGAAGAAGGTGATGGTCGAGCAGCAGCAACAGGAACACGTGTTGAACGAGAAACACATCATGCAGGCTTGTGATTCACCGTTCATATGCAAGTCTGTATCAAATTTGATGGATAAGCTTCTTTACAGAGTATTCAACAGGAAGAATCTTATCTTATTTTTTAAATACGTAGACTCTATCAGACTTACAAGGACAGAAAGTACGTGTACTTCCTGATGGAAGTCTGTCTTGGCGGAGATGTCTGGACAACTTTACAAAAGAGACGACATTTTGACGACGCGACTGCACAATTCATGGTTGGTTGCGTCGTTGAAGCTCTCGATCATCTGCACTCCTTGAACATCGTTTATCGAGATTTGAAGCCGGAGAATCTTATGCTCGACTCTCGTGGATACTTGAAATTGGTGATTTTTAAATGAGAGAATACTTCTCAACGTTTGATTAATATCTGAAGAATTTCAAGGTAACGTTGTGACCTTCTTTCCAGGTTGATTTCGGTTTCAGTAAGAAGATTGGTCCATCGAAGACGTGGACTTTCGCTGGGACGCCTGAGTATGTTGCTCCAGAAATTATCTTGAACAAAGGACACGACAGGTGAGTGATTAAAATCGATTTAAGTAGATTTAAACTTTTTTTTTTTAATTTATTGAAAATTTCTTCGTCCACTTGAAGGGCTGTAGATTACTGGGCTCTTGGAATTCTAACTCACGAGTTGCTCGTTGGCAAACCACCCTTCAGGGGCTCCGATCACATGTCCACTTATAATAGAATTCTGAAAGGTATCGAAGTGGTTGGAATACCTGGTATAGTTAGCAAAAATGCTAGCAGTCTCATCAAGAAGCTTCTTCGTCTGAATCACTCCGAGCGCCTTGGGTACCAGAGAAACGGCATTCAGGACATTCGAGACCACAAGTGAGCTATTTAAAACAATAAGTAACCAAAATTTATTTTAAACAATTGAATCGTTGATAAAATTTACTTAAAAAATATTAAATCACTAATAAAATTTATTTAAAAAAAATTAAATCATCTAACGAAGATAATTCTTTTTACATAGATGGTTCGGTGGATTCAAATGGCAAGCGTTGCAGAGACTAGCTTTACCTGCACCGATAGTTCCAACGGTTCGCAAAGTTTCCCCTTAAATCTGATTTATAAAAAATTCGTTAATTCTAATTTAGAATTGCATCGTTATACCACTCTACCTTCGAATTACAGGTGCGAAGTCAAATCGACACGAGGAACTTCGAGAGATATCCTCCGGATCGCAATGTTCCTCCAGACGAGTACTCCGGATGGGACGCAAGCTTCTAAAGAGAAATAGCGAGGGCATGATCAGCCGCACGACAATCGTTCGTCGAAAGGAACAATAGCATTCTCAGAAGTGCTGAGAAAAACACTTTTAATAACCCGCCTGTAATAAAATTTTATCTATAGTCGAATGATTATCGCGTTATCTCCATTCAGTTTAGATGTTATCAACGAAAAATTCCTATTTATGCTAGCAACATTCCAAGCAACGATAAATTCCCACTAATTGACCTAAGTTGTTATATTGTAATTATGTAGCAATTTCGTATTACGAGTATTCTAGACTCGAAAGTGAACAAAAAGATACTCTACGATCGATGATACTTGTAACCATGATAATGATAATGTTACTGATTAATAATAAATTTATACTTGAGTTACTAAATTGCCTTGTTAATTCTAGTACAACATTTATTCCATTCTTCATTTAAATAGAAAAAGAAAAATGGTGTATAAATGTGACGATCATGAGGTATTAAAAATCAGACTATCTATTAGATTAACATAAGTGTAACCAAGTGACGTAGTCATTTCAACAGGAAATTTCTTAGATAACTCTCTTTTATAGAACAAAAAATGCATTGGATTGAAAAATCCATTGATAGTATCACACTTATCAACGCATCTGTTATAATCACTTATTGAGTGGCTTGCCACGCATCCATGCACGATAAGATGAATCAATTCTCTCATTCTTACTAAATGTCAGTCTATTCCCAGTGATTACTCGAAATTCGATCAGTGTACTTCGCCAATTTTCTTCCATTTCAGTGCGAATAATTCTTCTCGAAAAGTACCAAGCGACGAATAATCTCAAAGAACAATTTTAAAACTAAAATACACTCAACTTAAAAGTATCACATATCAAGAATTACAGTGTCTTAAACTCTCCTCTCTTAAGCTCCGTCATGCATTATCTCTGTTGGAAAATAGGTTTTCGAAGCAACGTGAACCTCTTTCGATCTCGTCGTCGAAACACAGACGAATGTTACCGAGAATTATCCCTTCAGAGGAAACACGGTGTTGTTGGCGATGTGGACGTACCTTCTCACGTGCCAAAGATCTTCGCGAAGAATGAAAAGTAAAGAATCATCCTTTCTTCTTTTTTACTCCTAATTGCGACGAATTCACGTTTCGACGTAACTTTCAGAACGATAAAGCTAATCAAAGACGCGATTTTGAGCAACAAATTCCTCGAAGATCTGGACGAGTCGCGTATAGAGAAGCTGATCTCGGTGATGTATCCTAATCGCGTGAAAGCCAACACACGGATCATTCACGAAGGTGAAACCGGTGAGTAATCCTCCGGTGTCTCAAGTACATGACGTTATTAGTCACTAACGAAATTGGTGGTGACTTGGACACAACAGGTTCCCATTTGTACGTCTCGGAGGAGGGAACGTTCGAAATCTACGTGGGCACCACGTATCACGGTAGCTTCGGTCCAGGTGTTGCCTTCGGAGAGCTGGCTTTACTCTACAACACGAAGAGACTCTGTTCTATAAACGGTATTAAAACGATCCGTGGAAACCGTTTAAACAGAGTACCATTAGAATTTTCTTTTCAGTGACCAGACACTCGTTTTTTTTCTCAGTGAATACGAACGGCAAAATATGGATACTTGAGAGGCACGCGTTCCAGGCGATAATGATGAGAGACGAGGAGGAAACCCTGGAATACAATATGAAACTGATTCGTCGAATCGAGATTTTCAAAGATCTGCCAGAAGAAACTCTTCTGAAGATCTGCGACTTGATTGCGGTGGTACGTTGAATAATGATCGAAGTTTAGGTATTTACCTATGAGAAACATCGTTTGCTTGTTGTTGCTTCAGGAATTCTATCCGGCTAACTCGTACGTGATACGAGAAGGAGATCACGGGAGCAAGTTCTTCATCGTAAACGCTGGAAGCGTGATAGTGACGAAGTACAGAACGATTACAACGGAGCAAGAGCTGGTTACTCTGTCCAAGGGTGATTATTTTGGCGAGAAAGCATTGTACGACGATGGAGAAACTTGTCGACAGGCGAATGTAATCGCTGTGTCTCCTGGAGTAGAGTGTCTCACCATCGAGAGAGAGTAAATTACAGATGATACTCGTCGAAGTACTGGAATAATGTTTTTAGACTTCTGTTTAATTCAATTACGTACCTTTTTTTACTGTAGAACGTTTCTGGATTTCCTTGGAGGATTGGACTCGATTAGAAACAGAAAATGGGAGACTTCTCAGAGTGTAACCGAGATGAACCATTGGGAGGAGCAGTTCCAAAATTTGTCCCTGACGGATTTGGAGTCTGAAGGGACAATCGGAGCAGGTGGCTACGGCAGAGTGGAATTGGTTACAGTAGAATCGATGCCCAATGTTAGCTTTGCCAGGAAGAAGGTGAAGAAACGTTTGATTACCGACGGTGGATATCAGAAGTTGATTTATAACGAAAAGAACAATTTGAAATTGTGCAATTCTCCTTTTGTCTGCAAGTGAGTCAGTAGTTCTCTTCTTATACGATGAAAATAGAAACCAGCGAAATGCTTTTACCTAGAAAATGGAAAATAGAAAGTATGACTAAGAGATTCGATCTCTATCGATAACAATGGACACAATAGAACTCTATATTCGTTACAGATTACACAGAACCTTCAAAGATAAGAGATACATTTACTTTTTAATGGAGGTGTGTCTTGGCGGAGATTTAAGGACAGCGTTGCATAGAAATGGTCGATTCGACAATTCGTCTGCTCGATTTATCGTTGCTTGTATCGTGGAAGGGCTGAATCATCTTCACTCGTTGGGTATTATTTACAGAGACCTAAAACCAGAGAACGTAGTGATCGATAGCCATGGTTACGCTAAGCTTGCAAGTTTCTTCAATTCGAGTTAAAAATAATTGACTGTAAAAGTATTGTCTGATTGATCGTTTTTGTTTTGTTTTTTTTTACAGACTGATTTTGGATCCACTAAACATATCGGCGCTTATAAAACGAAGACATTCATGGGTACACCGGAGTATTTGGCTCCTGAAATCATTCAAAGTAAATCGTATAATAAGTACGCATTTTTACGTTGAAACAGATTTTTGAAAATTTCCAATTGAATGAAATGTATGATTATTTGTTGTTTTATTAATTAAGTGCTGTCGATTATTGGGCACTTGGAATTGTTACGTACGAAATTATGCTGAATCGGACACCTTTCCAAGATGTGGACGATATGGCGATGTATAATAAAATAATTCGTGGCTTCGATGCTACACTTATTCCTCCCGCCATAAAAAGCGCGGCAAAACATTTCATCGGATTACTTTTGAATAATGACCCAGTCAAAAGACTTGGTTATTTGCGAAACGGTGTCCATAATATTCGTAATCATAGGTATTTGATAAATACGTTCGTAAAATTTGTTTATTATCTGTATTTATTTATGTGAGTTAATTTCAGGTGGTTCAATCATTTCCATTGGAACGAGTTACAGAATCAAACAATGCTTTCCCCTATTGTTCCAACGGTAAACAAAAACTAGTCAAAAGGTTGTACGTTTCAATGATAGCTAACTTCATTCTCTGATTTATTTCTAGGTGAGAAGTCACATTGATTTCAAGAACTTCGATAAATATCCTCCTGATTATACTACTGCTCCAGTCGATTTTTCTGACTGGGATACGAACTTCTAATCATTTTTGCCCTTTAATTGACTTTGTATATAATTTATATTAGACCTTCTACTGACTAAACTATTATCTATTGTTAAATACATTGGTCTTTAGTTTTTATTTGACAACGAAGTTAAGAACGTATTTCTACAGTGCTAGTATTTTTAAATTTTTAGCTAATTGCGTAATATAGATATTACATAGATCTCTCGTAGTTTGTAAAAGTGTGAATGTTTGTAAAATGTAATTAAACATCTGTGTGCTTGTTGTGTTCCTAGTGTAGATATGAAGTGTATAAAAATGAATACTACATCGATAATATTGAACTTTATTTCCATTTCAAGGTTACTTTTTAAGAATAATTGTGCTTATTTGTGAAAGTTCTGAATAACAACGTCGTCAAGTCAAGTAGGTAAGTGCAATAATTTGTTACAATGAATATTTCAATGCTTGTAAATGCGATTCATTGGCACCTTTGAAATATCGAAATTTTAACTTGTTGGACATTGCGCAAAGAACGCCGACAACTTCAGGTGGCGCACGATTTGCTGTACTCCTGTGCAAATAACCTTGTTACACCATCGTTCGAATGGTGAATTTATAAATTTACATAACAAATAAATTACGAGTGATAGAATAAATTATATACGTATATTGTTTCGTGAGTAATTTGAAGATCATAAATATAGGCGTAACTTCGTTTGTAATCAATAAAGATAAGACCTGACAATAGGTCGTATTGAATTACGGTGCAAAAAACACGCATTATATTTTTTAACAATAGTGCCCACACAAAAACCGTAACAGTGAAGTGTAAATAACACAATTGTTTGTAATGCTTTTATACACATTAATAAGTACCGCTTGGTTATCGGTAATGACAGGACCTAACTTAACATGAGGTGAAACTAGGTTTATAAAAGTTATACATAATATTATGTGTTAGCATTTTACAAAAGAACTACATAATGGAAGCCCATGAAAACGAGCAATATGTTACATTTCCTCTTTCTGGGGTACATGATAGTATACAAGATAATATTATATCTCATGAAGAGATTTGTGAACCTGTTGACGAATGTGTCCTACCAGATCCACTCACTGAAGTGTCTGTCACAGATGTTAACTCTGGCATTACAGAAGCACAAGTTGCAGTTGAAATTTTAGCAGAACAGTCTGATGAGGAAGATGAAAATCGTGTAGTATATCCTATATATATTAAACAAGAAGAACAACAGCAATACACATCAGGAGATGATGAATCTATGGCTGTGGAAGCCCTCCGGCAGCTTGGAGGGATGTACCCTTGTTTTGAAGATAAAAAAGTATCTTGTCCAAATTGTGCAAATGTTTATACACAAGCAGATATGACAAAACATCATACCACTTGTAATGCAACTAAGTTGTCGTGTATGACTTGTGGGGAAAGATTTGAAAGAAAAATAGATTTAAACAATCATATGGTTTGTCATCAAGTAGATCGTCCTCATGCATGTAGAACTTGTGGCAACTTATTTCGTTCGAAAAGTAATTTGAGATGTCATATGTTACAAGTGCATCAAGTAGAAAGACCTCATAAGTGCACAATGTGCGGTGCAGATTTTCAGAGGCCTTCTAGTTTATCTAACCATATGAAGATTCATACATATGTTGCTGGACGTGCCATTATGCAGTCACAGGGTAATAATGTGTCACAGTCAGAGGAAACATTCAGAAAATGGTCTGAAAATGTAACAGAATCCCCAAACAATCAAGTGCCATCTTCATCTGTACAGACTGTTCAGAATTATGACACAGTTCATTGGACAGTTCCATCTTATAACTTTCAAAATGAACAGTCAACGGTTAATACAATATCTAATCCTGAAGAAAAAATAGACACTTTACATGAATTTACTGTAATGCCAAATGGAGAAGTAACACAATTTGAATATACGCAACAAAATAATATAAATAATCAAGTCACACAGCAATACAATCTTTCATTAAGCTCATTTAATAATACTGACACAATGGTGAAAGTTGAATCTTTACCATACAGTGGTGAAGATAGAAAGGATTATGTGGAAGTTGAAACAAATGATGTAAAGCAACATACTTGTAGACATTGTGGAATTAGTTTTTCCCGTGCAACAGCATTGGTATCACATGAAAAAATTCATGCATCCAAGAACTGGAACATGCCAATTGAATGTGAATATTGTGATAAACAATTTCAAGATGGCAATCATTTGGCAACTCATCAAACAACTTGTGCAAAGAAACTCATGCAAAATAATATAGAACAAGGTACACCCAATAATAAATGGGGTAAACATGCATGTTCTGAATGTAGCAAAAAATTTACAACTAAGCAAAAGATGTTCAGACATCAATGGATTCATAGAAAAAAAACTCATTCTTGTGAAGTATGTGGAGCTCAATTTGAAAAACAAAATCAGTTGGATGAACACAGATTGTCTGCACATCCTGGTGATTCTCCATTTACTTGTACAGAATGTGGTAAAAGTTTTGTATCCCGTCAGGGACTTTGGGAACATGGTAGAACTCATGCTGGAAGTCCTGCACATTTTCATTGTGATACATGTTCCAAGACATTTTCTTCTAGACAGGGCTATTTGATACATCATAGAACTCATACTGGAGAAAGACCATATGGTTGTAAATTTTGTTGGAAAGCATTTAGAGATGGAGGAACTTTAAGGAAGCATGAACGCATACACACAGGAGAAAGACCTCATGTTTGCCCTCTGTGTTCAAGAGCATTTAATCAAAAAGTTGTTTTAAGAGAACATGTTCGATGGGTTCATGCTGCAGGGAAAAATGAAACTGAAGTAACTGGACCTCCTTTCCTCTGTCCTATATGTGGTGCTTTAAATCAAGATAGGGATGAACTGTGTGCACACATTGTTAAGCATTCAGACCAGATGATAGCAGAAGCAAAAGCTAAAACAAATAATAATGCACCAAAAACTAAGCCAGTAAAAAAAAAAACAAAGACATCTGCAAGTACTAACTTACAAGAAAAACAGGGGAATGGAAATCGTATAATTACTAAAACAGAGGAAAATGAAGCACTTTTATCTATTACAGATGCAGATAAATCAGATGATCAACAAATTTTAGATGATAAACAGAATAATACTTTCCTTGTAGTTACTACAGAAAAACGTAATGAAAATTATATTGAAATATCCGAACTTAAAACTGAAAATGTACAATTACTAGTTGATGAAAAGCAAAATGAAAATATGCATATTTCCCAAACTAATCATAATCATAGGGAATCTTTAAATATGATTACTATAGATAAACAGAACAATACAGCTCATATAGTCTCTACAGAACCAGAAGGAAGTGCACTTCACTCTACAACCAGTCATAATGAAATAACTGCAATGCATTTAATACAAACTTCAAAGCAGGCTAATACTTTACATTTAATATCAAAGCAAAATGAATCATTGCCTGTTTTGGCATTACCAAATCCTCAGAGCCATGAAAATTTTTCAAGTCAAATTGCACAAATAAGCAATAGTGATTTACCTATGAATATGGTAACTCACCATTCAACTAGGCAGGATCAAGATATGAAGAATCAAGGAGCAGCTGAAACAGCTGTAATACAAGTTGTACAGTATCATCAACAAGAAAGTGATGATGGAGAGGAATTAGTTTGTGGTATTTGTGGGGAAGATTTTACTGATAAAAACGTGTTGATGGAACACGTAAAAATTCATATATAATTATTGTTACTTTATTATCCAAGTTTGTGATATTCTTATGCTATTAACGTGACTATGTAGAAAATGATGAATTTGATGAATTTGAACATGTCTTATGTCCTTGGAAAAAAAAATTGCTAAATATAGGTATATAAGTATTGTTTCCAACAGTAGTAGTAAAGCACCAATTTTCTATGTGTCTTAAAAACGCACTGATATTTAAAAAAACAGGGAATTTCAATTATATTTATACATTTTTAATTACTTTGTTTTTCTTTCTCCGAAATGCTTTTTGCACATTTAGGTCATACACTATACATGTGTTAAAATATTGTACATGTATTAAAATAAAATATAAATGATGATTTATATATTATGTACAGCACATTACTGATTGTCTTAAAGATAAACAGAAAACATATCGTAAAAATTAATAATCTCATGATTATGTAGTTTTGCTTTAATAATGCAGTTTAACAAATTACTTGGTTCTTTGAATTTACGCATCATTTTACGATGCGTAAATTGTAACTAATTGTGAGCCAAATGACACATAAAATGTAGAATGTGCAATGTAGGGGTGCAATAAAAAAATAAAAAGCATTTTATTTTCTACATTTATCTTTCATTTTATATCAAAAAGCACATTTTTTTAACATCGCATTGCATATATTTTTCCTTCGCCCTTTGTATTTCGTATTATCGCGCGTTTTATTAAAGTAAAGTTGGAGAATTAGTTTGTCACGTGTTGATGCCGGGACGAAATACAATTGCGTGTTATCAATCCTAGTTTACAATTATATTTTTCAGTTACAATGTAATGTGTTATATGATTTCGATAACTGGTTATTAAATTTCAAAGAACATTCGTCAAAAAAGTAAGTACTAATATTTAAAAGAACTGACAAAAGTACATTTTATATACACGTGATTTTATTATTAATGGTAGTGTAATTTATGTAACAACTTTTAGTATATAATGAAAAATAATTTTATTTACGATACATATTGATAAAAGCATCTCTCGGATTGTTTGAAAATTATGTTCGATATTAAAGGTTAACCTATACTTCACGTTTCTCCCGCGTTTATGATCAGTCTGACGAAGTATTCGTGCAACGTTCGACACATTGTACTTTAACGTTGCATAAACAAGTAACTACGCTATAAATGTAATTTTTAATTGCATAAAGGCAAGTGTGTTTAAATTATACGACAATAAGTGAAAAAGAATCAAGTTCGAAGCAAACTCTTTAACCTCAAACATCGAGCTGTAAATAGTCGCATCAGTTAAAGAGGTTATGTCGCCGCTGCGTCGTTTTAACATATAAATGTCTTGAAGATAAACGATACTATAATAAAAGAAGACAAATTTTCGAAGTTTTTAATCGAAACGCACAAATATGCCAACTTGGAACCAGATTCAAGCTCAACTTCGAAATCCAAATAACCCAGTGGTATTTTTCGATGTGTCTGTGGGTACTACAGAGATAGGGCGAATGATTTTCGAATTATTCGAGGATGTTTGTCCAAAAACCTCGGAAAATTTTCGACAGTTCTGCACCGGGGAATGCAGAAAGGATGGTGTACCATTAGGTTTCAAAGGTGCCATATTTCATAGAGTTATCAAAGACTTCATGATCCAAGGTGGTGATTTTGTGAACGGCGATGGTACTGGAGTCATAAGTATCTACGGTGGTAGAACCTTTCCTGATGAGAATTTCACATTAAAACACGACTCACCTGGATTGTTATCTATGGCCAACAGCGGCAAAGACACTAATGGCTGTCAGTTTTTCATAACATGTGCCAAGTGTAATTTCTTGGATGGCAAGCACGTTGTTTTTGGAAAAGTGATAGATGGACTTCTGGTTATGAGAAAAGTGGAGAATGTTCCCACAGGGCCAAACAATAAACCAAAAATTCCTGTGACAATATCTCAATGCGGACAAATGTAACAAATTAGATGTAAAAAATATGATATAAGAATTATACTATGTTTTTCAAGAGATAATATTTCCATCAAAACACCTCGTTCCATTTAAACATCTTTTCGATACATACATTTCAATGAGGCATAATTACAATTTAAGCTAATAATTAATCATGATTGTAATTACTTATTGATCTCAGGGCTGCCTGTATTTCATATTGCCCTTGGCTTGTAAGAAATATAATCTCTTGGTAACAGAGATTGGCTATCAAGACCCTGTTTATTGGTACTTAAATGTTAGTGAATTGGAGCCTGATTTTCTACCTGATAATTTTAACGAAGTAGAAAAATGGTGATTGAAAAAAATTTAATTTCTTGGTAACAGAGATTGGCTATCAAGACCCCGTTTATTGGTACTTAAATGTTAGTGAATTGGAGCCTGATTTTCTACCTGATAATTTTAACGAAGTAGAAAAATGGTGATAGAATAAAAACGAAACGAAAGAAGTTATCATTTTACGAACTTCAATTTTATTACGTTCTCAATTTACATACGAAATAAATATTTTGTACAATCTACACATTGCGTGTACGCCGGATAAAAATCCACACGCGTCTGATATATCATATCGATCATTCCGGAAAGTGGAAACACTGAAATGTAATACACGTAATCTGTGTGTGATCTAGAAACACTATGATCAGTGTGTCGACTGTGAAAACTCGAACCGTGAACGTTAGGTCTTCATTTCGTATCTAATTTACAATAAAACTAATCAGAGAGACTAATCGTTCATTCGTACATAGTTCGTTCATTAAATAATTTCACGTTATATATAAACTGATAGCCTAAGAGAGACAATCGATGTACTTAACAGTGAGTCTTATTTCTGCATAGCTACATATCAATCTTTAATATCTCGGAATTGTTACACGAATCGATAAATTGCTGCTTATACTACGATATACAATTATTCTTACACGTTCACTATACACCCTTTCTCGTTTAGAAAAGAAAAAGAACGAAAGTAAACTAGTACAGTACCTACATACGTGCGTACGATTCTTCTCGTCAGCACATTAAATCTCTCGCTTTGGTTGCTTGCGGAATAAATGTAAAATTCCAGTTTAGCACTTACGTTGCAGAAAATCGTGCGTGGAAAGGCAAATTCCCAAACGATTTGCCAATCTTCTCGAGGGGAAGGTCTTCCTACAAAACCTTCCTTCAACTATCACCGTTTCAAAAAATAACTGACCAGCCAACCAAGCAACTTTTAGTTCTTTACATCTCAATGAAACGCTATCTTGATATACAATATAGTCATGCTTTTGACGTACTAGCGTACATCTTTTCCAGTTCGCGTGGACTTGAACTTTTGGAAAGTGAATCTCTGTCGTAATATTGGTCGTTCCCTAAAAAACAACGATATACGTTCACGTAGCCGTGTTAATCCAGACAAGAACGGCCGGTTTCGAGAGACTTTCCTATCATCTAAATCACGAATCGTCTGGATATCATCATCGGGAACGTCACGACCTGAAACAACATTACACCGATCATAATCGACAGCAGCTCACGGCAGCGATAGCAGCTGGTCCCTCTTCTTAGGTACCGTGAGCTGAGGTGCGGTCTACCTGCTGTTGCAGAAAACGTCTTCCTCGATGGTGTCGACCTGAGAATTATCATCGACGACCATAATAGGCGTAGCGCCGTCGTGAAGGCTCGACTTGGAGATAGATCTCTTGTACACGTCTCTGGTTACGCTCCTGGTGAAGCTGAACTTCCGCACGAGCTTCTTGTCCAATGCGGCAGGACTCTTGGGTCCCTTCGCTCTGAACTCGTCCTCCGTGCCCTCGTAATGAGCGAGCATCACCTCTGTAGCATGCTCCTCGATCACGTCCACGGCGTAATCTATGTCGTCCTCTGTGGCGTTCTCTTTGATGACGCAGAATCTCAATATGTACTTGCCCATCACTCTAGCAGGGATCATATGAAGTCTTCCAGACGCGTTGATATTTGCCAACAACTCCTGATTGATCTCGTCGCTCTCCTTCAACCTGAAGCACACCAAACCTACTCTGACGTCGTTGGTGATCTCGAATCTCTTGTCTCTCCTCATCAGAGTCTCGAATCTCCTCGCCAATCTGATATGATTTCTTATGTACTTCTGTAATCCGGTGATTCCATAGGATCTCATAACGAACCATAATTTCAACGCTCTAAATCGTCTACTTAAAGGAATACCCCAGTGACGATAATCGATGGATTCTCCAGACTTGGCGTGTTGAAGGTACAAAGGATTGACAACGAGCGCCGACGTAAGCTTCACTCTGTCTCTGACCCATAGGCAAGAACAATCGAAGTTGACGAGCAACCACTTGTTGGGATTTGTGTTGAATGAATCAGCATGCTCGATACCAGCCATGAAAGGTCTCATTTCCGGGCAAATGAACGCGTTCCCAGCGTAAGCACCGTCCACGTGTAGCCAGATGTTTGGATAAAGTTTGCATATAGGACCGATCTCGACGAGATTATCGAACGAACACGATCCGGTTGTTCCGAGTGTGGTGGAGACGAAGAACGGTACTAAACCGTTGGACACGTCTTCTCTGATCGCTGATTCCAATCGTTTACCACGCAGAGAACCTTTCTCGTCGGGTTCTAACACGCGAAGCTTCACCAGACCGATCATCGCCGCTTTCTCCACGCAGGAATGAGCCTCGGTGGAACAATAGGCGACCAATCGAGGTAGAAAGGCTGAATCCTCGGTGTTAGGGTCCTGTTCCTTCAACGTACGGATCGCTTGGGTACGGGCAGCGAGCATCGTGACCAGAATACACTCAGATGCGGACCCTTGTATCACACCGCCGCCCTTCGAGCTCTTGTGCTCGGCCAGGAACTCCGGCGGAAGGTCTATCGCTTTGGCGTACCAGTCGAGAACGATCGTTTCCAGTTCCGTGCAGGCCGGGCTCGACGCCCAAGAGAAACCTATGCAGCCGATTGCGTCGGATAGCATGTCCCCGAGGATCGAGGGGAACGAGTTGCCTGCTGGGAAGTAGGCGTGAAAACGCGGATGTTGCCAGTGGGTGATCTGAAAAACCGTCAGGCGTACCTTTAGCGGCAATTTCTGCCAATTTTTTTTACAGTCAAACCTCTGGTTTTTGACGAGAGGAATAGTGAGGATTCGGATAGTGAGGAATAATGTTAATATTCTTGGTTCTACTTGGTATTTTAACAGCGGGTTTACGGAACGCGTGATTTTCACGCATTTGGAAAATTACAGAAACCCTTATAAATATGTAATATCACATAGTTTATAAGTTGATAACGTTTAATGTTGTTTTTTAAAGAAAATGCGCGGTTTCGTTGACGCGTGAATTTGGCGCGTGTCGGTCGAGACAGGTATATAGAAGAAATGTCGGTAAACCTGGTGTTAAAAGGATGTAATAGATAAATTTGATGGCACAAAAGAGGGGGGTGGTCTGACGGGGTTGATTCACGCTCCACTACTTTTTCCTATTTTTTCGTATTCGCGAATATTATTAACGTCGAAAGAGGCCAGAATCAATGAGGATGGATCGATAATCGAGCCCGCGGTTTACACTTACCCCGGGCATTATTTTACTGTCGACGTCCCTCATTATGGCGTCCCATGATTCACCCTTAGCTGGCGCCTCTTTAGGCAGCATGGGCCTTAGATAGCCGGGGTCCACGTTCGCTGTCACCCTTTTTCCTTCGAGAGTGCGTAGATACTCGCAGATGTACTCGATCATCTCCTTGCCGCGTAGTTGAAACTCATCGATGTTCATGTTAATCGCCGGCTGGAATGGAATTCGAAGGAGAGACGGATTAATGCGTGCCAATGAAACTCGAGTGTTTGATTAAGCACGTTCACTTGTGTGCCGTGTGTACTCGATCGTGACATTTTTCACCGCCATTTATCGTGTATTATACCGATGAAACAAACGTCATTCGCTGCCGGAGAAATGCTTGCGTGATACATTTTGTACGATTTTTTTTAAAAATTTCCTTTCCTTACGAAGATCGCGTAGTTGGAATGATTTTATAATTCCAAATTGTGTTTCACTCACTTGTTCCTTTCAATCACCGGACGAGAAGAATAACGAATCCACTTTGACGACGTGTATCACTTCGGATCGATTTATTTCGTCGAATTTTACCGACTATCCGTCTCTTGTATTCAAATGTTCGTCTCGCAGAGCGCGGCTCCTCCGCTTGGTGGGAACGCTTCGCGTAACAGGTATGTTCCGCGTTGGAACGGAGACTGGTAGCACCTGCTAAAGCGCCGGTCAGTTTTATGCGCGCCTCCTCTTCGTACATCCCTGCTTCACGCAGATAAAATTAAGGCGGAGCTTCGGTGATCGTGAACGTATTTTTTTTTAATTTACCTGGACTACTTCATTGTGGTCTGCGACGGTGATCGTGACGCGCCTCGTTACGCAAAACCCTCGCGACGAAAAAAGGATTCTCACCCCATCGGGAACTTTTTTCGCGAACCCTTCAAATTTCATCGCACTTCCCGTTAAAATCGTTCGCTTAAATTTAGTCGCCCTTCTTCCTCCCACACGTTTTTTTATAACCGTCGTCATTTCTCGTTTAAACACGCACATCTACGCTCTTTCGAAAATATTTTTTTTGCCAAAAGTAATTTTGTCAAAATTTCAAATTGTAAAATATTCTTCTATCGTTTCAACTTCTTGGTAAAAGAAAAAAAAAAAGGGAAAAGAAGTGAAAATGAGAGATATACTTTGCGTCGATCATTCGATCGCCAGATTTCCGAAATCGACTTGAAATTTGAAGTTTCGATTGGAGGGAGATCGATGCGAAAAAAAATCTGAACGAAAAAATTCGTAAGAAGGGTGGTCGACATCAATGGTGATGTATCGGGGGGTCGGTGGTTGAATAAGCGAGCGTGTTGTCGATGATACACGGGGAGTAAACTCACCCCCTCCTCCCCTATTTATAAATAGACGTTTACTCTTCACCTACATTTACAACACCCCGTAGAAGCGGTGACAGGTCACCGCTCAATCTTTGTAACACACACACATGCAGACACATGCCGGCGATCACCATTTTCTCTCTCGTCACCACCTTCACGCATGATCTGCTAGCGGCCGACGTTTTCGAATTGGATTTCTCGATCGAGGGTGTCGGAAATGATTGCCATCCGGTACGAATTAATTAATCCGACCTATCGATCCAATTCTTTCCACCGTTTTCCAACCATAAGTCTCAGTCGAGCAGTGTCGCTCGAGGAAGGCCAAGTTGGAGATGTTTTGTGCACCCCCGATGATTCGGGGAAAGCGAAGGATAATCGAATGGTGAACTTTTCTGTTGATTTTTGGAATCGATATCGATCGATTGCAGTTCTACTTTTTTTTACCGATTTGGTATTGTTGGGGTTTAGTGGGAATTTTTTGGGAGAACTTTGGAATCTTCCTGAAATTTCTCGGGATTCTGAATTTTTTTCTTTAAAATTTCCCTTTTCTACAAATTTAATCTCAGTATCATCAGAGTTTAATGGAAATTTCGATAATCAAGAAAAGTGCAATTTTTTCAAATTTTCGTTTGTTTGATCTACGAACACACTCGTTGCGTTCTCAAATTTATTTCAACCGCAAGATCATCGTCCCTTTCTATTCAACCTATTAACAGCATCTGAATTTTCGACCGTGCAACAACCAATTGCGTCGCGTTTAATTAGCAACATTCTGGCAATGATCGACGTACCTTATCGGCGTCGTTCCCCTTCTCACGTGTAAGTAGATTACGCTCACGCATTTTCGCTTGACGTAACATCTTTCGACGAGAGGATCCTTCGATCACGTACTACTACTTTTCAGCCACGCGTCACGTTTCCGTTTCCCTCTACGACCTCTGGGAAACACCATTTGCGCAAACCAGTCGTACACAGAGCAACAAGATCGAAAGGAGAATTGGATAAAATGTCCATAATACGCTTAGACCGTGAAATGGTAGATAACAGTGGAGAGAGAGAGAGAAAAGGATCAAAGAAGAAGAAAAAAGAAGCGATGTTTAAGCGAAAACGAGAGCACATGTCCAAAGTGCATCGTTCACCCTGTTTGACCCCAACCTTTTCGATCGTCTAACGAACAGCTCTTTATGACCTTTTTTCGATATTCTCTCTGCCGCGAACTTCCGTTTCATGTTTTTTACCCTACCACCCCCCCGGTCCAATTCTCGAACAGACAGGAAACAAGTAGATATACCTATGATCGTAGATGATGGTGAATAAATTGAAATGCTACTCTTGTTACTTTTCAAATCTTCTTTTTTTTTAGAGTAATATGTTACACATGTAACGTGTTCCGCGTGGTACAACGATTCCGTCGCGATCCAAAGAGAGTACACTTATATAAACAGATCGATAAGCAAGTAAAGAAGATGTACTTATATTTATCGAGCTCTTCCTTCAGAGACACGGGCTACTACACGATCTGCTTCGGGAACACTTATTTTGCAACTACTACACACAGTTCTCAAGAGGGATGGTGTTCTAATGCAACAGGAAACTGATGACGACTTTAATCTAAACGGGGGTGGTCGTCGATCGATTTTTATTTTTTAATTTTTTTTTCGTGGACGATGTTTGTCGTTCGTTGCTGAGCAATTCTTCCTCCTTTTCTTAACTTTTTTGCATTTTTGGTTTTCTTTAATACTTGACTTTTCCTAGAAAATCGTTTCGCCGACAGTATCCGTTAAGTAAGATTCAGACGAGAACGATTTCGTTAGACTTTTCGAGTTCAGCTTGTTTTGTCGATGCACCTGAAGAAACCTTAGGAAATGACGGTGAATGAGTATGGGACGCTTTACGCCCTGCCGTTCGGAGATCTTCCGCGTGAAGGTGAACCGACTGCTGCCGCGGCGACTTCCGGCGCCGCTCGCCTTCAACCGTACCATCGTGTCCAGGTGACGGAATCTGGAAATTGTTTTTTCGTGTGTTAGGGATCTTCTGGGGCAATTTTTTTCAGGTGATTCATTTGCCAGAAATCAGGATTAAATTTGTTAAGGTGATTCGTTTATTAGAAATCTTCTGGATCAAATTTTTTGAGGTGACTCGTGTGTTAGAAATATTTTGGATTCAATTTTTTAAAGCGACTCGTGCGTTAGAAATCAGGATTCAATGTTTTAAAGTGATTCGTTTATTAGAAATCTTCTGGATTCAATTTTTTGAGGTGACTCGTGAATTAGAAATCTTTTGGATCCAATTTTTTGAGGTGACTCGTGTGTTAGAAATCAGGATTAAATTCGTATGTTAGAAATCTTCTGGATTAAATTTTTTAAAGTGATTCACGCGTTAGAAATCTTCCTAAATAATTCGTTTAACTGCTACGTACCTGTAACTCATTTCGAGTTAAGTATTTTTAGTCAGTTACTTCATTTAACAAAAGTGAAACTTTCGTGAGGAGAACAATAATATTCCCTAGATTACTTTTATTTCCCGAACCATGTCTTATCTGTACTCATAAAGTCCTCCCTTTTAAACACAATAAAATTTTATTTTGCAAAAAGAATATCACTATTGTGGTATACCGAAGCTAAAATAGAAGGCAATAAACGTTTATATCTCACGTACCTGAGAGATAATTCGCTGGTATCTGCAGCGTCTTTCGCTTGCATCAAATACGCCAATGGCCACGAGATCCAGGAACGTCTAGAATCGGAAAGACTAGAGATAAGTGATTTTACTACCTTTCTCCACACTTTAACAATATATGCGAATATTACGTGGTTGTCTGAGGATTCGAGCCAATTCCACCGATCGTCGCTTGAGTGTCCAATTTCGCACCTGTCCTATTTGGTGTTTTCGTGAATCCTGGCTGAATCGCTGGATCAGACACCATACGAACGAAGAACGATCTTCTCTGCTCCAAAGTAGCTTTCCTCTTCTTCTCGCGAATATCCGCCAGCTCGTCCATAACGTCCTGCAATTCAACGACAAAAAAAAATACATACAACCAAGAAAAAAATAGTCAAACCTCTCCAAAATAAAAAAGAAAAAAAGGGTAATTTACCTTGGATTCCAATAATTCCGCCAAGTAATCAGTTATAATGCTCCAAGCGGTGTCTATAATATCAAGAATAAAATCCTAAAAAAGAGAAGACGCAAAAAATGTGTCATTATCAAGGAAGATACGGCTCACCAACGTCAGAGGCAGTGGCATTCGGCGCAGCAAGCGCGAAACGAATCGTAAACCGTTGATTCACCCTCGCCGGTACCATATGCAGTTTACCAGAGTCGTTGATGGTACTAAGAAGCTTCTGGTTCAATTTGTCGGAGCCCTTCGCACGGAAACACACCAGGCCGAGCTGAGAGTAAAGCGTTTAACACGATAAAACTTCCCAACTTCTCTTGAAGTTTCTATTGTGAACGTATACTCGTGAACATCTCACCACAACTTCGTTACAAAGTTCGAATCTCGCGTCCTTCCTAACCAACGCCTCGAATCTTTTCGCCAGTTGAATATGATTTCGAATGTAGGCTTGCAAGCCTGATATACCGTAGCATCTCATCACGAACCATAGTTTCAACGAACGAAAACGCCTGCTTAACGGTATACTCCAGTGTCTGTGGAAAGTAGAAGAAGTGTGACGGCGAGGATGATGATGGAAAAGAATGACTGTTTGTTTTTTTAAACCGAGGAAAAACAAACATGTTTAGGATCGATAGAGACACCTGTAATCGATAGCTGTGTCAGCGTGTGTGTGCTGAAGGTAAAGTGGATCGACGACGAGAGCGCTGGTCAGCTTGAATCTGTCTCGAACCCATAAGCAGGAACAGTCGAAGTTAGTTAAGAGGAATTTGTTGGTGTTGGTGTTGAAGGAATCGGCGTATTCGATTCCTGCCATCAGGTACTTCAGTTCGGGGCAGATGAACGCGTTTCCGGCGTACGCTGCGTCCACATGCAGCCATACCTAATGGAAAAACATTTTTTTTTTTTCATTTTTTTGAAGATTTATAAAGATTTTAGAATTGAGGAGCTAGAATGGTAAACGATCTTAGTGGCGAAAGTAATTTGGTACATTTTGTACCGTTTATTTTTCCTATAGATCTATAAAAATGGTGAACGCTGAGAGTTCACAGCGCTCAAATGATAAATGATTTAAGTACTTTTTACCATTTATTTTCCCTCCAAATCTACGAAAATGGTAAACTTCGAAAATTGTAATTTCTGTAACTTCTATTGTTTATCATTTCAACCCTCCAATTATTGAAAACTATCGATCATCTTACGCCTGGATATTTCCTACAAACTGGTCCAATTTCCTTGAGATTGTCGAAGGAACAACAAGCAGTGGTGCCTAAAGTAGTAGAGACGAAGAATGGGATGTATCCCTCGTTCGTATCAGCCTCTATAGCCTGATGAAAAAGTGGCTAATTACGAAGAAATATTTAATTCAAAGAAACACATAAATTGCACGAAGATAATTATACTTGACGCAAAGTTTCGCCGCGGAGAACGCTCTTATCGTCCGGCTCGAGGATCCTCAGCTTCACGAAGCAGATCATGGCGTCTTTCTCGACACAGCTGTGACTCTCACGGCTGCAATAGGCCATCAACTTTCCCAGAAGTGCAGTTTCGTCTAAATGTGAATGTGCAGGCGATTCTTTCAACCTGGCGATCGCTTGAGCTCTTGCTGCCAGCATGCACACTAAAACACACTCCGAGGCTGACCCCTAAAATTCGATCAATACCCAATTTTCGATCAAACAGAAAATTTAGGAGTATCTTGAATTTTGTTTTTAATTCAATTGGAAACATTACTTGGATTACACCTCCACCCTTGCTGGCAGAGTTGAAATAGAGGAAATCCGTCGGTAGACCAATAGCTTTGCCTAGAATTTAACATAGGCATGTATAGAGGATTGAAGATTAAATATTAATTCGATGGATATTTAATGAAACAGGAATGAATTTACCAAACCAATCGCAGACTATCGTCTCAAGCTCGGTACAGGCCGGACTGGCCGCCTAGAACAAATAGAACCTCGAAATACAGAGATGATCGAACAAACAGTGACCGATCCATCAAGGTTCACCCTAATTTTTCACGCGAAAATATCAGATGTCTCACCCATGAGAATCCAATGCAGCCTATCGCGTTCGATAACATGTCGCCGAGGATGGATGGAAAAGAATTTCCGGCTGGGAAGTATGCGTGAAAACGTGGATGTTGCCAGTGGGTGATCTGCAAAAAAAATATGAATCTCTCCATTGAAGCACGCCTTTTCAATTTTCCTCTATTCTACAGCGAATTGATTTTTTTCTGAAGACTCTCTCCTCTCTAGATTTGAGAGGAGATCTCTCGAAATTGATTCCTCTTTTCCACTTACTCCCGGCATAATCTTCGATTCCACGTCTCTCATGATGTCCTCCCAGGTTTCCGGTTGTTGCGGTGCCTCCGCGGGCAGCAGAGGTCTCAAATATCCGGGACCAACATCCGGCGTTACTCTCCGACTGTGGATATTGCTCATAAATTCGCAGATGTACTCCACCATTTCCTTCCCTCGCATACGAAACTCCTGGATGTCCATTGCGACGCGTTTCAGTCTCGGGGATCTTCGAACAGAGGCGATTTCAACGACCACGAATCTTCCGTCGAATTGAGCCACAGATAATGTCCATTTTGCTTTGTAGAAATTTATCAACGAATCTCTTGCCGTCTGTTTATCGATCTATTCAGTTAGAACGTTTCGAATCGTGAAAAATTCTTCCTATACACACTTTCAACCCTTTCAGGACCAAATTAATTTGTTGGAAAATTTCTTATTCGTCTACTGGCCTGTAATTAATACCAAATTAAGATCAAGCTTTTTTCAAGTACTCGAGTGGAACACACGTATCCTCCTGGTCACGAAAGGGTTAATAAATTTTAGTCCTTCTTGATAATTCAACATTATCTACGACTCGATCTATCGACACAATTTCCTCAAGAAATAGTACTTCTTCACCCCGCGTTCGAACACTAAAAGCAATAGCTTTCACCGTATAAAAAGAAAAAACGATTAATTCATTCTACCCCCAGGCACAAACACTAATTACTCGATAAAAAATATTCCTAATTAATTCGATCCTTGATTAAACGAAACTAGACTCTGTTAAATTCACTTTTCCCCACAACTCGAGAAACTCTGACGAAGAATCCACGCGGAGGAGCATCCTACCTGTTGCTAGTGAAACTCAGCAGGGGTCGAAAACTGAGATGCACCACGGATCAGCCAGCACCGAAGAATCCCGTGTCTCGCTCACCACCGCGGATATATCGAGGATCCAGCCAGCGAGGATTCTTTCACTCGTGCGCAAACGCGTTCTTCCTCTCGCGGGATGATCCTCTCTTGGCGGATCCTCGAGAAAGGACGAACGAAAGAGAGAGAGAGAGAGAGATACAGGGGGGTGGATCTATGTACGTCTCGGGACAATTTCCGTCAAGGGGACGACTGAAATAGACGTACATAGAAGGTGGTTGCCTCTCCTCTTTGCAAACGTACTCGTGTTTCCTGTTCCACGCAAATTTCAACAGTCGTAATAACCATGATACCAACGTTCCACCCTTCGAGAATCTCTGTAATCTTTCGTCGTTAAACCGGGTGGAAATTTGATCAAGCAGGTAACAGGTGCTTCTTATTCGACGGAATTAAGAAGGTTATTAGGTGACAGATGTGTCGGAGTGAGAGTAAAATTCTTTTATGGTCGAACTTAATTTGAACGATTCTTCTTGGGCGATTCGATCACATTTGCGAGATACTACTCGTGTATTGTTCGCAAAAGACACAGTTGTTGTATGGTTGAAAATTAGGAAGTTCGATGCATCGTTTCGGTGTGCTTTTAACTCGCAACAGATCACAAAAATAGGGGAGGAAGGAAACTTTCTGTGGGGGGAGAGAGATGAAATCTCATTCCACGAGCTGATCGACTGGGAAAATATTCATACAGTCGAACGGGGAGGCTGAGACCTCCCTCTGGATCCAGGGAGGGAAGAAAGTTGTGGAAACGGTTCTCCTTCGTTCATTCGCGATGAAATCGTGGAGCGTCTTCGCCATAGAAGGGTTGTCCACTCGAATAAATTGGAAGCCGGGCAGCCGGGAGCGCGCGATCGTTTATTACGTTAGGAAAAGTGCGCGTAGGCATCGTTAAGAAGGTGTCAGACGCAGAATGTCGCTTCCAGTGAAAAGAAAGTCGAGATCTCTTCGGCGTGGTGCACCGAAAGTGGTCGAAATCCTTGACCTTTCTTTTTTTTCTATCTCTCTCTCTCTCTGAAGAATCCACGTTAAAGATCTCCCCAGTTTCAGAAATTAGATTCTTCCGTTGCACCAACGAAACACCAGCTACAGACCAAATTACGTTCAAAACTGGTTCACTAATATGTACAGGGTGTACGGTTTGCATTAAACGTCTCTTCTGTTTCGAGAAACGAGAGAAAATGTGATCGATAAAAAATACTGTGTCGTTCTTAATTATTGTACGATTTAAGGATCTTGGTAATTTTTTAACGACTATTCAAGTTTTTGTTTCACATTCAGTGAGTGTATATGTATATGACGATAGTTTCTTCGTAGAAAATTCTGAGGATATCAAGGTTCGGCTTTGTCGAACCACGATGAACCTGGTCCTCCAATTTCCCTCACTCCTCCACCCATGAAGAATCTATCGCCACCATACTCTATCCTCCTCGAAACAATTTTTACAGAAAAACAATTTCTTACAAAATTTCTAAAATTACAAATTCTCCTATTACTGGAAACAACGAGACTATTCAATCGACACAAAGTTAACAAAACACTCTGTATATACAGTTCCAAAACGATCGACCAAACCCTTCCAACAGTACAATCAATTTCTTCAAATTTTCACCGGAAGCAAAAAAATCACTATTTAGCTAGGTAAACGCGACGTCCACTACTGTCTGTCTAACGACGTCAGCGTAGCGTAACAGTTAAACTACATACACAATACCGATATAGGCCGAATAATGATTTCTGACGTAGTCGAACGCGGAACTGTATGTAGATGTACATTTTCAAGGAAGTACACGGTTAAATGTTTCATCGAGAATCGATCGTACGAGGTGTCACTGTCTCTCTGTGTACCAGGCTAGAGAATTGTCCCTGGTACGTGTGTGTAGTACCATGAAATTTCCACACGAAAAAACATGACTGATTAAATGGAAAAAAATTTTTTCGGGTAGGTGTATATACGTATATGTATGGGTACGCGTATGAAACAGTGCAAGGAAGGAAGTTAATAGGCGCACGAACAGTGCGTTTCGTACGTTTCACATAGGTAAAACGGCACCCTTTAGGGATAAAAACGTTCATAATGCTGGAATGCAGGGGCGAGAGACCGGTAGGGGTGCTTAATAATGCAATATGGCGTCGAGGCGTCGCGGCGCTATGCCGGCTATGCCGCATACCACCACCATATACGCCTACACTGCGATCCCCTTTACCACCCCTGTGGCGAACAACTGGCCGTGGTAGGGATGTACCATGCAATCGAATGCTGATTGGAAAATATTGATGGGGCTTTCCATACGGTCTTTCCCTCAGACCAACTTCGATGCCTTTTTCCAACCTAGCCTCGGAATTCCGGAAATTATATCGAACCACAAGTTTTCGAGAGACGTCCCATTTCCTTCGATTATAGTCCATATTAACACTTTCATTATCATCGGTGCTTAGAGGCGTGTTGAAAATTTGGTCGCGCTGTACCTGCTGTTGGAGCATTTTGGTGCGCTTCCGTCTTGATTTAATGCGGATTTTATTCTTTACGTAGTTGCATCTTACTTTAATAAATCGAATTTTGAAACGATATGAGGAAATAAGAAATCTTGCGCCGTGGTGAAACATTTTAAGTCAGTCATCCACGTTACGCGTTGAAATCTGTCGCAGCGGAAGGGTTAATTGACGAGGATCTGAAGGACTGTTGTTGGTTGTTAGGCGAATTTGATGAGTCACTTGGAAGACTTTTATTTGGGAAAAGTCAGACTTGGGTGACTTTTATTTGGGAAAAGTTAAACTTGGGCGACTTTTATTTGGGAAAAGTCAAACTTGGGTGACTTTTATTTGGGAAAAGTCAGAAAGTGGAGTTAGTCGTTTTGGTTTCTGAGTGACTGATACGAGGATAAGGATTTTTTCATGGAATACAGGTTTGTTAGAGATAGGTACTTTGTTCAGGGTAGAATTGGAAGTCGAAGTGAGTTACGATCGTCTTCGGTGTCTGAGTAGTGACGGTCATCTTTCACTTGTAGCTCTCTGTACCCTTTGCAGTTGTTATTTATCAATGCACTCTCGGCTGCGATTTTTTTGACAGATTTTTACGAAGGATTGTTAGAAAATGATTTAAATAAAGTTTATTGTGTTTTATTTATTTAGGAACATTAGATAATGTTTATTTTTATGTGAATATAATATCGTGGAAGTTAGGTGGGTATAGTATTACAGAATTATTGTTAGAATAAAATAAGAAGATCTGAAGAGAAAAGAAAAATTAAAACAAGATCCAGTAATTAATACTACGAATGTTTACCGAGGATTAAAGATAGTTAAGTATAGTGTAAACGAATTTGGTGAAAATATGAGTCAAGTTCAGTAAGTTGAATGAATTTAGCTATTTCTGAACCCTAGGAAAAGGTTTATGTGCAAGACTGTACTCGGTCATTCCAAGTTCCATGAATGGCTGGAAGAATGGCACGCGAAAGAGGCGATGCTTGCGAACTCATGACCTACTGGCAGAGAGACGTGGTCCCCATGCTCTTTCACGATTCTACTCTCGTGACGATCTTCTTTAAGACCATGAAGATTCTTTGTCAAATCGAAACTTCATCTTCGAAGAAATTCCTCATTAATCGCGAAACGATTTTGTCTTACAGATGGGCAGATCGAAGCTGAAGAAAAAGAAATGGGTGAAAAATTTGGACTATCCCCCCGAGGATTTGGGGATCCCCATACCGAATTTACCACCGAAAGTTCTATTAATGCGCGTGAGTCTTGAAACAGAAGATTAATTTTTCAAAATGTGTCGCGTTATTTAATTGCAATATTTCTAGGTAAAAAGTGGGACGAAAATTAGAAATGTTCTTGGACACGCGTTGAAGGAATTCTCGAATTATAATAGCGTAGTTTGGACCGCGGCTGGACACGGCATTGGAAAAGCCATTTCCTGCGCGGAGCTTTTCAAGAGAAAACAAGGAGGCCTTCATCAGATTACCAAGTTGCGTTACGTCGAGTGAGTTGCATAACACGAGAGAAAATAGAAGATCCATTCTTCTTTCTTAATTAAACTATATACATGTATATGTGTATAATTAAAGGTCGGATAGATCGAAAACGGAGAATAAAAATGACACGAATGTAGAAACTCGTCACGTACCGGAAATACACATTTTACTCGCGAAGGAAATAAAAGACACGTCGGAACCAGGGTAATAAGTTGGTATTCTTGCGATTGGTCACGTTGTTCTGTGATATTTTTAACGTTGAAAATGTAGTTATCAGGCGCCAGATAATCGTGGAGAATTCTCGAGCCAGGGAGAGATGAGAAATGGTGGGAAAGGTAAAAACCAGGAAGCTGGTAGTAATGCGACCTGCATCGATGCCGAGGAATTCGCGGCTATGGGATTGAGGACTGGTCAAAAAAGGCCGAAGAAAGAGCAGCAAACAGAAGCGCCGCCGAGAAAGAATAAGAAAAGGGGAAAAGATGATCGATAATAAAAGAAAGAGGAATTAGATTGTGTTGTAAGTAGAATTCAATTAAAAATTACTCTTGCGTAGAAAAGGGACAAGAACTTTGTGATAAATCACTTTTTTCGGTACCCTTCACCTTTTCTTTTTTGGTTTTTGTTTTTTATTGGGAGTCGAAAAAAATAATACAGAATTTGGAATTAAGTAGAAAGTTTATTCATTTTGTTGGTACATGCACATTTTTTACAGAAATATACAATATGACGTATTTCTGTTATTCCCTCGATCTTTGCTAATTGAACATACCCTTTTTCTTCCAATTTTTTCTTTTATTTACAAATGATATATACAGTGTGACAACAGGCATGCATGCACATTACAGAATTGTAACATACGCTATGCAGAATTGCAGTGCCTTCTACGAAAAATGAATTGCAAGTTCTTTTATTGTATTTCTGTTTCTTAGAAAACGTTGTTCGCAATAGACGATTAGTAAGTATCAAATTTCACCAACAGTAAATGAAATGATTAAAAAATCATCTTCTTTTCACATTACGTTACATAATAATGTTCTTCACCATTGGTGAAACTTGAAGAGAGAACACATTTACAATGCTTTTCACTGCTTTCTAGGAATATTTTCTTCGTATCAAATTCGTATAAGCTTAGAAAAACCTCATTTAAACTGATCACAATCGATACATTGATAAAACGAAAGGTGTTTAACTATTAGTATATTCGAAGGTACATTTAATTGTTTTTCCCTTTTGTTTACTTTATGTGAACTGCTTATGTAATCTACTTATTAGAGCTTATGTACTCGGCAGTAGTATGAATAACCTTCGGCACTGATATTGCTTTCCTCAATAAGAAATCTAGAGAATAGGTTCAATATTATTATCGATGAAATTCTTAATCATTAGAAGAATTCGCGTTGAATGGAAACAACTGCGATTGAACAATTCGTATAAATAACATTTACTTGTATTCTCTAGTCTTACTTTTAAAAAATGTGTGTGCCACGAGAATACAACAGGTTTGCATTATTTTTTTCTTATATTAAACATCTTACAGACAATAAAAATTTAACGTTATTAGTGTGACTACATGATACTGGGAGTTGTATCGATAACAGGAGAAAAAAGCACATTTCAAGTTCATTACCACGTAAGATAAATACGATATAAATAAGAACATTCCAACATTTATTACGATTACTAATAATGCATATATGTGTTTGCTTAATTTTGTTACTTCGCGAGATTATAGTTATGTCACATTGACGACCCTTGCTACGATAAATATATTCATTTTCTTACGATGAATCGTTCGAATAAAAAAAGAAACTTCAGTATTTAATTTTATATTTGAAGTCAGTCAAATATATTATAATGAATTTACTTACAAATACAATTACAAAAGAGCTTCTTGAAATGCACGTGTAATTTGAATAAAATTAAATTTTTTTTATACGGTTGAATATTTTTACTTTTAATTGAACTTGAATTTCTTGTTATAAAATTACATTGATTAAAATTGAAGATGAAAATTCAATAATACCGAATTAGTTTTATTTGATACATTGTAAAAAAATTCATGTTTATACATAAAAACTTTACAATAGCTAGTTCACAAGTGCAGTTATAGCTTCCAAATCACTTGTACTGACAAGTAAATATTATAAACATGATTCTTAAGCATGAAAAGTTGCTTTATACAATGAATTCCTATTAGCAAAAATTGTATTAAAATGACTTTTTATTCTTACTTCAACCAATAACAAGAAATTCTAGTAATATATCTCATTACATCTGACAAATTGCCTTTGGGCAATATAAAGAAATATTCAAGTTCTATGCTTCACTTTCTGTTGTTTCATCTTCTTCCATAATTGGTACTATCAAACTTTCCTTTGACATCAAACTATATTTTGTTACAAATGCTGTAAACCTACAAAAAGGATTGATAAGGAAGATAAATGAATTAATGAAATTATAGATATTTACCTCCATTATTCTACAATTAATCATTTTACCTGCGGCATAAGAAGGTCTCATTCTCAAATTCATCAAATATTATTCTGTGATGATAATATGCATGAGAAAAGATTCTGTAAACTCTTCGACTAACAGATCCAAGTTTTGCTACTGAAGATTCTTTGATACTCACCCTGGAATAAAATACAAAGAGAGAAAAGTAGTTGGAAAAACATTTATATATCCTGTGATTTGCTAGAATAATTTTTCAGTAACATACCTGCTAGGAAAGTATTTATTACTATTAAGTAAACAAGCTGCACCATCAAGTGTATGTCGTGTATAATCAATAGCTGAACATTCTTTGGGTGTTTTATGTGCAGCACACAAAAATATCCATTGTTCAGTAGCTGTCATTTGAGTACAAATTTGTGGATGACATTCTTCTTGCAATCTTACTGTTAAACCATTCAGTTCCATACAGAATTGTCTTAAATGCTCATATTTCCATGCTGCTTCATCTTGTGCTTCTGGCATTTTTAATATCAAATCAACATTAGATGGATCTTTTCTAATCATCTGTTGAATATATTGCTGCACAGCCAGGGTGCTATCCATTTCTTCAAAAGGTTCATCAGGCCACCTGCAGAAATCCTGAACAAGAAAAATTCCTAACTTGAGACATTTTTTAAGGTATAAAGAATCAGTGTCACGTATATGACCCACTTTACTACATAAACATTGTACTATGATAATTGCTTCATTGTTAAAAAACAATAAATGTACTACCATTATCTGTCAAAGTTTGTATCTTTATCACAAAAATGTAATGTAAAACATGTTTGTAGTGGTAAATAACCTAAGAAAATATGAGCAATTTTCAAACAATATGTGCATCACGAAACAAATAAAATGATGTACGACAAAACAATATGAATTATTAGTGTGTAAACAATCGCTTCTTTGTAGACTATTCATTGATTTTCATGAGATGTGTTGAAGACGCTTTCGAATATTTCTGTAAGTACGTTGCACATAACCGAATCATCATTGAAGAGTAGTGTAGAAAACGTGAGAACAACAAATTGTTAATAAAATTGACATTTTTATTAACCTTTGCTGTAGTTCCGGGCCTATTTCTTCTAAGGATTGTAGGTCCGTCCGCCATCTTTATTTTTCCAGTTGTTGCACTCGATTAACATACACGTTCGATTGGATCAAATAAAAAGATCGGGGATGTCGTAATGTCGGCCTAGAGAGTAGCGACACCATATCACTACCACTTTGCTCTTTGTTTAGAAGTGATGTAGATGGTTATGGGTAAAGCAAAAATGTACAAAAAAATTTTTTTTTTAACGAATGTTTGAAACAGGTTAGTGTAATATACGAGTCAAACTAATGATCCGCTTTATTATTACCACAGTTTACACTTATATACAGAAGAAATAAAATTCAATTTCGTTTCTTATACAATGTTTTAAAAATAAAAAAAAGCTTGACTAATGAAATGACATATATTATGTGAATATTTATTCATAGACATCTTCTTTATCGCAAACATAACGTACTATGTCCGCGGGTCGTAAAAGTTTCTCTGCATCCATATCTGGTATTTCAAAACCAAATTCATCTTCTATTGCCATTATAACTTCTATGTGATCCAAGGAGTCCAAACCCAAATCTTCCATAAAATGAGACTCCAGTTTTAACTGTATAACATTTCAAATTTTAACCTACAATACATTTACAAAAAAGGATAGGTAACTAAATTTACATAAGCATACAAGATTCAAGCGAGGTGTCTGAAAAACTATCTATCAAACTATCTTCTTCACCAAATGTAACATATTATCAAAAATGTTAATGAATATCAACTTTGTGCAAAATATTACTAACAAATTCTTAAAAGATCAATGTAATATCATTAAATCCTGTACCCAAAGCACCTTCACAAGTATTTTTAATATTGTATCATCTTGTGAATAGATACCTTTTCAGGAACAATTTTATCATAGAGTCTGAGTACTAAGAATACTCGTTCCTGAACAGCATCAATTGATAGAGGTTGTTTTTCACTGTAATGTCGTACCTGCTTGACTCGTGTGCCCTGTAAAATTATAACTTATAAAAAACATATAATGTTATAACCTTTTCAGCAGTTATTTTATCATAGGATCTTATCACGCTTAAAACTCGATTCTCAATATCCTTAGATTTAACGGCTGTACAGAATGTGCGTGTATTCCGTGTATTTACCTATATTTACAATATAATTACGCATTATTTGTGTTATAATATAATTACCATTAGATATTTATACTAAATATATATTGGATATTTTGTACCACGAAACGTTGTAATGTAACTTCGAAAGACACAATAAAAAAAGACAAATTTTTCTTTTAATATAAATATATGACAAGTATATTTCTATATACAATGAACTTTATCCGAACTACTTTACGCGTATTCATTTTAATTGAAACATGACACATTAAACTAATTACATTTATTGAATCTTATACTTTAGACACACTTATACTCTTTATTTCATTAAAACGTGAATTATTTCTGTTACATAATATGCGATTTAAAATACGATACATGAAGTATTAGGGAGGATTCGCAGAAACTATAGAAAAACAGTGTTTACCTGCGGTACAACAATGATGGCACTTTGTCTTTTACAGTGAAAAAATCTTTCGTTTAAATAAAGTTGTGTAATGGTACCTCGTAAACATGATCGATTGATTGAATTTCTAATAGTACCGGTATTTCTCATCAAAAGACGAATTCCCGCGAGAGACGCCATTTTCTCTGCAATGAAAGTTCTCACAAGAAGACCTAACCTAGTTGCGCACACGAGCTTTGTCCATATCGTAGCTATCTCGTACTAGAGTTTACATGAGTTAAGTATTGCAGCGACACCTACTTACAACAATATATTCATTGTAAAATAAAAAAGATAATGTTGTATAAAAAACAATTACAGGTTAACATAGATGTAGCACGTTATCAATCATAACTACAAGAAACAACATTGTCTTAGTGATATTATAAACAAATTTTTGTTTGCGGATTTTAATAAAATCATTGTTATATGGGAATAATATTTATTTCTAAATAAAGTTTATGCAATTTGTTTAATATCTTACACAGAAAATGTTAAAATGATCAAATTTAATAAAAACGAATATAGTGTTCTGAAGGAATAATATTGAATTTTTAGTAACATTTTATATTAGAAACATGGCGAAATTGTCAGGGTCGACGCAGCTGACGAGGAGTGATTCGTAGTCGTGTTCGTGTTGGTATTTATCTTTGGCAAGTATTTTTTTCTGCTTGACAGACAGCGAGTTTTGCAAGTCCCTTGGATAAAGCGTGTTTGAATTTGTATCGTTAGTGCCATATGTGCAGGAACAACGGTGATCAATATGTGGGTGAAGCCACAAGAGGTTCTACTGGCAAATGCTTTCTGGTAAATTGATATGTGTATACAATGTTCAATGTTCTGTTATAATTACTGTTTACATCGTATGTCAAAGACAGCTGACAGAATTACATTTAAGAATTTGAGCAATTTTCGAACATCTATTATTGTCAAAGCTTGGCTAACTCGTATATATTAAATTGATTTATAAAATAATCGCCTCTTTAATTGATCTGTGATTTTTCTAGCGTTGGTATTTGTTTATGTTTTGTAAATATATCAATTGTAATTAAATGTTACATGTTCGTTAAGGGATCTTGCTAACTGAAATTTTACACATTTTTAAAACAGTAAATTAGTACTGCAATTTTCTTGTACTATCACGCAATAGAGGAATATAAATTATGATGCATTGTGTATGGAAGTATGGTTTATTGTCGATAAGAAACGTTCGCGCTATTGAAATCACTTTGTCAATTATCTGTGAGATTAATTGAATCCCTGTCAATGACATTTATCAATATGGAGGAGAAATAAAAATTTAATTTATAATTATGTATAATGTTGTAAATATAAAATTATATGTAAAATTGTTATCTTTCGAAATAGCACCGATTGTATAAATAAAAATTATAGGCTTCATTTTTATAGTTCATTGTTTGTATCTTTAGTGCATTTTTATGACTTGTTTTTTTACTTGCTCATACAATTGTATAATATATTATCAAATTTTTAAACTATTTTAATATATTCTGTAGAAAGGTTTTATTAGGTTAATAAAACAAAGTGAAAATATTGTATGTATTGCAATAAAGTAAGTCCTATATCTTTCCTTTAAGGGTAATGATATTATTTTATCTTTATTATTTAGGGTAACAGAGCAGGTAACAGTATATTTTGTTTTACAACGTCGTAAGGGACATGGAAAGATAAAAGGTTTTAGTTCTATATTGGTGGGTACATTGGACAGTGTTTTTGATACTAAACCCCCACCATTTAGAATATTACATCAAACACCATCATCAGAAGTTTATTGGGGTAAGATACTTTAACATGGGAAATTGTAACAAAGCAAACATTTTCTACAATTAAGAAAATTTGTTTACAATTATCTAGCAGTTGCATGCTCTTTGACACATGAAGAAATTTTACAAGATTGGGAATGGCTCCATACCAATTTAATGGACACTTTAACATCATTTGATACAGAAGAAGAAATAACAGAATTTGTTTGTTGTAAAATACAATCCATTATTGCAAATAGTGTACCAGACTCTCAATTTGCAGATGGTAAATTGTTAATTATGAAATTGATTAAAAAGTAAAATTATATAATTGCAAAAAATTAATATTGTCCACAGAGGAAGATCCAGAATCATTTAAAATAGTGTCTTTTAAATTTCATCAACTTTTTAATGTACCCAAGGAAGATAAATTAGTCAATTATTATTCCTGCAGGTATTTATATAATTAATCCAAATTTCAGTAAGATTTAAAAAGTTTTACAATATTGTATCTTTTCAGTTACTCAAAACCTCGGGTACCTAGACTAGGATGGTTATATTTATCAATAAATCATATGTGCTTTTATGCCTATATTTTGGCAATGGAAACAAAATTAATTATAAGATGGGCAGACATTACTGAATTGAGTAAAACTAATTCCACTCTATTTCCAGATAGCATACGTGTTGTAACAAGAGACAATAAAGAGGTGAATGAAAAACTGCACTGTTTATTGCTTATAATACATTTTCAGTGATAAACATTTTTTATGTCATTTACAGCATTATTTTTCAATGTTTCTTCATAAATCAGAGACATATTCATTAATGGAGCAACTTACAAATATTGCTATGAAAAGGTAATGTCATTTATATTTTGCAATAGGTAAAAATGGAAGTACATTTAATAAATTTGTGTTATTCTACTTTTTCTAGACTTATAGATGAAAAAAGTGGTTTTAATGAGGATAGAGAACTATTACATAAATTAAGGTACATAATAAGCTTCCTGAAATTCTTGAGTAAAATTTCTATACATTGATTACATTCATAATTACATTTTCAGCAAAAATGTACCCAAAAAGCCATCCTTCTTAAAAAGAGATCTTGATGCCCGAGCACATTCGGAAGTTTACAGGTTGCAATTTAGATTACCAGGAAATGAAAAATTGGATGGTGTGATTGATTCAACATTATGGACACCATACAATAAAAGATACATCTGGGGAAAAATATTTCTTTCACAAAATTATCTCTGTTTTGAAAGCAGGGTAAATATTTTTACAACTTTAGAAATGGTCATATAAATTTCTATATCTAATGACATGATTTAATACCTGTATATAAATTCAGGTAAGAGGATTAGTGAGTTTAGTTATACCTTTGAGGGAAGTAAGACTTATAGAACCTGCTGAAAATCAGTCGTCCAGCACAGGAATAGATAAATCTATTTTAGTGACCACTGCTCGATCATCGTTTTTGTTTGCTCAGATCCACGATCGAGATTTTGTTATTCAAAAAATATCTGAATTATTAGCAAAATCTAAATTATCAAATTTGTAAGTCACTATTCAGTATTAGTTTTTTGAATTATACAATTTAACAATTCGATCGTATCATAGTTTGCATAATTTGTTTTGTAGTAGGAGCGGGGATAGTGTATTTCCCCAGAATAGTTCACAACACAACGAGAGTAATTGTGAGGAAGCTAAATCTACTAATCATTGGAAATCTCAACCACCATTAATGACTTTGTTTAAAGCACCATTAAGTAGTGAAGCAGCGCTAAAACAAGAAGCTAAAGAGAAACAGTGGGAACTTCATTTTGCAGAATATGGTAGAGGCATTACAATGTACAGAACAACTGAAACAGCAAAACTCATAATTCAGGGTTTACCACAGACTCTTAGAGGAGAAGTTTGGCTTACTTTTTCTGGTAAGATAAATAAAGTATTAACATATAATAATACAATATAATATACAATAACATTCAAATTCATATTTAGGTGCTTTAAATGAAATGGTAATGAATCCAGGACTCTATAAATCATTAGTTGACCAATCACTAGGTAAATCCTGTCAAGCAAATGAGGAAATAGAACGAGATTTGCATCGATCATTACCTGAACATCCAGCATTTCAGTCAGACACTGGTATTAGTGCATTAAGGAGAGTCCTTTCTGCATATGCTTGGAAAAATCCACAAATCGGTAAAAATTTTATTTGTTACAATTATCGCCATAGGAACTATAAAAAAATTTTAATGATAATTATCTTGAAACAGGTTATTGTCAAGCCATGAATATAGTAGCTTCGGTTCTATTGATCTATTGTTCTGAAGAATCTGCGTTCTGGCAGTTATGCAATGTGTGTGAATCGCTGTTACCCGATTATTACGATAGAAGAGTAGTTGGTGCTCTTGTCGACCAAGGACTTTTAGAAGAGCTAGCTGCTGAATATTTACCAACTTTACATGCTAGATTACAGGAACTTGGTCTCATTAAAGTTATATCCCTTTCGTGGTTTTTAACCATATTTTTAAGTGTTATGCCAACTAGTAGTGCAGTAAACATAATGGATTGTTTTTTCTATGATGGAGCAAAAGTAATTTTCCAGGTATAATGTATATATTTTTTATATCTACACAGTTTGTTTTTAGTTCCTCAATTATTTTTTGCTAGTGGAAATATTGAACTTCATTGACGTCCTTTCTAATGAATACAGAATAAAATACATACAGAAGACATTTGAAGTAAACAGGTCTTTCTTCCTGTGTCAGATAGCATTGACAGTACTGGAATGGAACCAAGATAAATTATTAAATTGCCCTGACGATGGTGAAGCAATGCAGTTATTAACAGATTATCTTGGAGGTGTATACAATGATGAGGGACCTCTACTTCCTAGACCAGTTGATAGTGCTACTCCAAATCGAGTAAAAATGCCTTTATATGATTTATATATCCACAAATTGATATGAATTCATGATTGCACTTATGTGTTCACTATTTTAGAGTATATCTGTTCAGACTTTAATATATGAAGCATATTCAAGGTATGGAACTTTGACTATTGGTGGAATAGAAAGATTACGTTTAAAACACAGGCTTAGGGTAGTTCAGAGTTTAGAAGATGGAATTGAAAAAAACGTAATTAGAAGTGTTATTGTTGACAAATATATGACAATGGAAGAATTACAGGTATTACAAACAACATATTCATAAGTATACGAATATTGAAATTATAATATTTAGTAATTATACATCAAATTCAATGGTCTGGATATTTAGGATCTGTTAAGTTTAGTAAGAGAAGAATTAATGAGTCAACGAAAATCCGAACCTGATCGTTACGATCCAACGCAGCCTCCTTACGAAGCATATAAAGTGGACTTTGAACTATTTAGGATATTATTTGGGGGCTTATCCCCATGGGGAAAATGCAGTCAAGCTGAATCTCTCGCTGCCCGATTATTCCGTGTAAGTTGGTTAAGTTTTACAACAATTTATAATGAAAGGAAAGCAAATGATGTAATTGATAAAAACTATTAGAACATTAACATCCACATATATATTTTAATATTATTAAATAAGATTAAGTAAATATAAAAAATGTTCATAAGTACTATTGTACAATTAGTTAATGGATCGTAATCGGGATGGTCTACTGAACTTTCGGGAATTAGTACAAGCAATCGGAATGACAGCAACCGCCGATTTAACACAAAGGTTAAAACTTTTATATACCCTTCACTTACCACCATTACTTACGCCTGCAGATTTTGAGTCACCAACGCATTCTGGTAAATATTATTTGATACTTAAACACACTGTTTGTTCTTATTTTAAACAAATTAAACATATTAATATTAGATGGTGCTGAAGTAGCAGCGGAAGCTACTGACTTTTTTGATAGTATGGAAAAAAGCGTTGCTTCCTTAGAGTTACCAATTAGTTTAGCGGAAGAACCGACTGTCGGTACTTTATCTCGTTCGACAAGCTTGAACAGCCAACAAGAAGATCAATCATGGGAGGTGCAAAGTATGGGTAGTTTACGTTCTATGATAGCATCTAAAGATAGTCCATTGGATCTTAAAATCGTGCCAAAAATGTCTCAAGGACATTTCATAGCATTATGGAAAACTCTTTATGATATGTTCCCTGCACATCCAGAAGAACAAGAAACTTACCATTGTATAGCTTCAATCGGTAAATCATGTATCCATATATTAATGTAATATTTGCATATAATCCATTATACTGAATGAATATCATTATGCAGGTACTCTTTTACTACAATTGGGTAATGTTGGTAAAAAGTTTTATGTCGATCGAGATGAATCTGAAGACAGCTTACTTTTAGCTGCTTCAGCAGCTCAACAAACATCTTCGGTTATGGAACGGGTACCTATTATTTATAGCGTTACTTTATATTACACTATAAAACCTCTACTAATTATTATTTTCAGTCACATGATCGTAATGGAAATCCGTCAAATGTAGTTTCATCTACTGGTCCAGATTGGTCAATAAGTGTGGAACAGTTCCTGGCATCTGCCTTAACAGGTCAAGTGATAGTAGATTTTTTTAGTAAAAGAGCAGATCTTACAGAAGCGATTGCAGCGCTCAAAAACCGTAGATTTAATCGCGTCCATTCCTTATCAGACACACCTGTGTTAAATGTTTGATACACAGGCATAATTGTGTAGAAAAATAGTGTAAGATACATATAAAATTTATAAAGTGATAGATTGCCTTGAATAATTGACGAGTAATTTCATTTTCCAAGGAAATTTCTATATTCATAAAAATTAGACAAGGAAATTTCAGTTTAAAAAATAGATTTATAGTATCAAAGACATTTTGTAAAAGAGTTTAATTGAAACGAATTAAAATACGATGTTTCAGTGCAATAATTCAAATAGTTTTTGGACTTCATACGATATTAGTCTTATATCTTTTATCTATTCCCAAATAATATTAGGTATCAAAAACATTTTATGCTTGAAGCTTATATTTTTGTTAGTAGACATATCTATTAATACTATGTACTCGTTCATTATGTAGATAAAGTTTTACCGCACATGTAGTTAAAAGTGAATTCTTCTTTTAAAAATATCATTAGTCTTTAAATATATCTAAAGTTTGTTGGCCTATTGTAATAATTGTACGTTGATCAAAATTAAAAAATGACAATGGTGTATGCTCAGGGTAATATTTTAAAGGCAGTTCCATCACTTTTTAACTATATTCATGCATGCAAAGCAAGTTCCCTGTGACTTATACTAATATATAACAGAAATATTTTTTAGAACTAAAATATATCGAATATTTGTGAATTTCCGTAATTTCTACAACTATAATATGAGTGACATGCACAAAATTGCAAAATGTGTGTACTGTCAGTTAATGCACATGCTGCTTAATCTCGTACTTTTACTAAAAATTCAAATGCATTTAAAAATTGAGGAAGTTATACTAATAATTACTTTGGCTACCAACAACTATAATAATTGTACATGTTAAATTAAGGTTTTAAAACGATGCGGTAATAAGACGAAGCTATACTACTGAAAGGTATTAGATGATTCTTCATAATATTCAACAATTTTTACTAACTCGTATTATTCGAAACGTTATATGTGTAATATAAAGTCAACAATGAATACGTATTTTTAACATGTTTGTAAATGTTTCTGTTGAATGCAGTTAAATATTAATATTTAAAATCATACATACATAAATATAATTTCTAAATGGAATTAGCAAAAAAATCTCAATTAAAAAAGGATTAAATATTCAAGAATTTATCTTCTTGTACAATATATATGTATATAATGATTCATTATTTCATATGTGAAACTATGTACAAATCTTATAATAAATGGTACATATAATAAAATTTTTACAAGTGATATAATTTATCAAAATAATCCAACACAATAATACACATTATTTAAATTTTTTACAATTTTATTGAAAGAATAAAATTATCTTACATTAAAAGTTTTTCGGTAATATACCATCGTTTTTCGCAAGGCGCACCAAGCAATCATCAGATTCACCCTAAAATAGATCGAATAATAATTATTTAAATTTTAACTAATCTATGTATATCGTTGATACATTAAAAAAAAGTAACATACCATACGACGAATAGCTCCGCAGATTGCATACATTTTTTGAGAATCAGTCATGCGTCCAGTTTCAGGATCAACATCAGCAATACTCAATTGTATAGACGCATGATCCTTAGCGTGAATTATGCGGTTACTTGATGAGCTAAAAATTCGTAATTTATATATTACATTAAAGTTATTTCGTAATTCATGTTTGTTTATTATTTTCGACATGTATTTCATTTCTTTAATATAATATACATTTTTATCTTTCATACAATAGGTTTTTTATACTTCAAAATAAGTCCACATATACATAAATGTTCATTTAAAACACTAGATTGCTATTTTATACTGAAAAACACATGTAATATCCACGTGTGCCGCCGCTTACCATTTTCTTGGGATGTACAAGTCAACAAGTAATCCGTTATCGTTCTCCATTGTTATACCTACAATAAATATTTAAAACGTAAAATCCACATCATTTTATAAAAAAATGTAACATTAGAAGTTGTCAAATCAACAGATTTCCTTACTTTTGTTTGCTAGACGTATACCGTAAAATGGCTTCGCACAGAAAAGAACTTTACGACAACAGTATAGATACTATCGCAAAAAATTCCACGTGTACCAACTATCGACTATACAATCTCTATAAATTCCTATAAGTTTAAAGATATTTCTCTACATCT